TCCGATGCCCTGGTAGGAAATTAGAGCTGCCGCTTTTCCGGCCGGAGACTTGGACGCTGGAGGCAGGCAGGGCGGGGCATGCCGCGGCACGTCGTCAGAGCCCTGTCGCCCGCTAGAGCGCGCCACGCCCCGCCACGCCACGAGCGACACGGCCAGTAATAAAAGCGACTCATTACATTCGCGCGGCCGCTGCTTCGCTGCTTTACGAGGCCCCGACCCCGGCCGCGAAAGGGGCGTGTTTTGGCGCCAAACCTCGGCGGCCGGGGGAAACCGCAAAGCGGGGTCGGCGCGGAACGGGACGGGACGACAGGACGACGGCCGGCTGGGGTTGACTCCTCTCATCGCGCTCGTCATAAACAGAGCCGAGCCGATCTCGATCGGAGCTACTCAGTCAGGACTTCGGCGAGGGGAGGAAAAAACCAGCGATCGGACTCTGGAGGTCCGGCATGGGCCGTCGCCATTACTTTTGGAGCTTATCCAAATGTGCTTCGCGGTCCCGTTGGTCAGACAAGCGATCTCTCCTATCGAGGCGCCGGGCGCGGCGGCGCGGCCCGGCCGGGGCAGCCAGGACGGCCAGGGCGCGGCCGCGCGGACGCGACCCAAATTCGGCATTATCTCCTCAAATCGCTCCCGGAGAGTGGCGGTGCCGGCCCGCCGTCAATCGCCGGATCAACGCGTGTCGCGTCGCCGCCATCGACGCCATCGACGGCCATCGCTGCGGTCGACCGGACTGTTTTTGCCAGGCAGGGCTGCCTCGGTTCAGATTGCCAAAAAACTTCAGTAGTAAGTAGTATATTTCGAACGTCTTGCAGTTAGGATTTCTAAATTTTGCTATCGTTAAGTCAGCAGTCGAGATAAGTATACAGTATGAACACAGTTTCCTAGTCAAGTGGGACGACTCATCTTGCTCTCCGTTGCACTTTCTATAAACTAAAAGGAGGGGGGCCGTGTGAGAGCCACAGGCCTGCCAGAGGTCACATCGCGGCATGCGGGTGGGCTGCCTGAAATGGGAAGCGCTGGAAGCGCGCTGGACGGCGGTCTTCCCCGAACCCATGCCAGCCCGGCCAGCGCCACCAGCGCCACCAGCGCCCGGCTTCCCGCGTCTTTCATACCCCTTGGCGGGAATGCGCTCGCTTACGCGGCCGAGCTTCGCACGCCGCTGTGTCTGTGTGTGTGTGTGAGTGTGAGTGTGTGTCTGAAATTGCGATCGGGGTGTGCCCGTGGCGCTACACAGCTTCCGGACAACAATGCCAGGGCGTGGCGGCGGTGGCGCATGGCGGGGACGGCGACGCTCTTGGCCGCCAGCCAGCGCGCGTCCCACCGCCACCCGCAGCCTACCGCAGCCTACCGCAGTCCGGCCCCCGCGCCATCGCGACACGGCCGACACGGCGCGCCGAACCAGATCACGACGCCAGCCATGGCAGCCACGGTAGCCACGGCGAGGGAGGGTGGCACGGCACGGCAGGGTCTTTGTACGCTGGCCCCGTGCTCTGGGCGGCGACGGGGCGTTCTGGAGGACGCCTTGGAGGAAGCCTTAGGACGGCGGCGTGGTGCCACGACCCTGCAGCAGTGTGGCGACATAGCGAGGTGAATGGCGAGGGACTTGGGCCGCGCGGCGCCGAGTGGCCGCAAGACCCGCAAGCCCGTGTGGCGCCGGCCGGTGATTTGGAGCGGCGCCCCTCGGGCCCCACGGGCCGCACGGGGCTTCTGGGAACTGGCGATGTACCCTCACTCGTACCACTCCAGCATCAGTACTGGACCCGTTGGCAGCGACGCGCCACGCCGGCCACGCCGGCCACGCCGCAGCCAGGCGGGAGCCGTGGTAGGTATTTGACTACAACTTCTCGTGGAGCTCAATAGGTCCTTAAACGCGCGTGTACACTTGGCGACACATTCAGAGAAGCAGGCACGGCCGAGGGGGGCAGGGCAGGGCGGGCGGAGGCAGGGCGGGGTTCAAGTACCGGCAATGCGTCTCGGCGTCACGACGCATTCTTGCCGTACTTCTTGTAGCGGGCAAACGCATGTCGCCGCGTTTTTCGCCTCTGCCTGCTCGTAGGTAGAGTTCGCGACGCGCTTGCCCGGCTTGCCTTCCCGGCCACCCCACCGAGTGCCCCGGGCTTCACCGCGGACGGCCGCCCGTCGCGCCTCGCCGCGGGCTCCGCTGGCTCTGCTCGGCTCTGCTCGGCTCTGCTCGGCTCTGCTGCACATGAACTAGCGCAAAACGCAGGCCGCGCTGCCCGGCCGTGCTCGGTACATGCTGCCCGTGAAATATGTGTCGTTCGCTACTCTGTACCGTGCCGGCGGCGCCGGGCCCGTGACCACGCCGTGACCTTTGGCCCAGCGATGTGCGCGTCGGCGACAAGCGGGATGGGCCGATACGGCTCGACGTGGGGGCTACTTACCGCACCAGCCGAGCCGCCGAGTCACCGAGGTAGGCAACCGACTGCACCCGGCGGCCGCGCACTTGTCAGCCGGGACGACTTTGTTGGTGTTGGCCAGCGTGCGAAAGCTGTGTGCAAACAAAGGTGCGTATTGGCAGAGTGGAGCAGGCCTGCTCGTTAGAGGGAAAGGAACCCAGAGGAACCGGGAACAGGGTCCCCGGTCGGGGAAGAGGCCCGGGCCGCGCGGCCCTGCCCAGCCCGTCGCGTGAGGGCAAGGAGCAAGAGCAAGAGCAAGGACACGCGACGATAAAAGTGTATGACGCGCCAACTCACCCCGAGGCGACAACGAAGAGGAGACGCGCGGCTCGTCGCCAACAAGCCTCGCGCTAATTGTCCGTCGTGCCGAGCCGAGCACGCGCGTGACGACGCCCGGCCCCGCGCGCCCCGCGCGCCGCCGCCGCCCGCCGCGCACGCCCGCGCCGTACATCAGCGGCGCACCAAATTAACGATTTGAGCCTCTTGAAGTCTCAATTGAAATGTGGCCGCGCCGCACGTCGCTGTTGCGCGCTGTTGCGGTGGCGGGGCGGCCGGCCAGGCGCGCGCTTTGCTGCGCTTTGCTTTACGAGCCGCGCGGGGCGTGAAGACCGAGGACTGCGAAGACTGCGAAGGCGAGGCAGGGCCCGCCAGTCCGCCCCGACCGCCCCGACCACGCGTCGACAGATTTTAATCACTATAAATCGCGCGGCGCACACGCGTGATCTGGATGCACCAGCGGGCCCCTCTCCTCTCCCCCGTCGCTCTCGCGCTTTCTTTTGCCCGACGGACGGCCTCCGCGGTGGCCTCCGCCATCCGGAGTCCCGAGAAGGCCCTGGCCGAGCACCCCGCCGTCGCGCTATTTGGACAGCTCGGCAATTTATTGTCATTCCAATAATACCGGGAACGGGCATCTGCGGACAGAGCACGGAGGGAAGGGGACGGGGTGGCCAGGTCTCTGCTCCGCCCAAGGCCCCGCCCCCGGTGGAGGACGCCCCGGCCACGTGCGTGAGTAGGTGTGTGTGTGTGTGTGTGTGCGTGGTCATCAAAGCTGTCAGCGACGCCCGGCGACGCCCGGCGACGCCGATCACTTGGAGACCACAATGGCAGTCCATTCAGAGCTAACCACATCCAATGTGTATAGCGACGCGTTGGCTGCACCGCGCCATCCGCGCGGAAAACTAAAAGCTCCTCCACTGTAGTAGAGAGCCACCAAAAGGCAGCCGTCGAAGGACCGGCAGGGCGGGCAGGGCAAGGGCGCAGTTCACTGCCAGGGTCGCCAGGGTGGCCCAGACGCGACCGATAGTGCCTTTTGACGGCGTCCCCGTGGCCTGGAGATGGTGGTGGCGGTGACGGTGGCCCCACTTTGAGTCGCGGTGTCGCGGTGCAGAGGCTCGAGCATTGTGCCGCCGCCAGTTTGCTGGGAAAAGACGGAGAGTCTGCGCGCGCGGCCTGCCCTGCCCCACGGCCTGCCCCACGGCCTGCCCCACGGCCTGCCCCCTGCACCGTCGTCGCGGACGGCATAACCACGCATAACTTAGGCCCTGTCGGGTGCCGTCGGTCGGGCCCGGCGAAGACAGGCCCGTTGCACTTGCGCCGACTTGCACTGCCTTGCACTGCCTCGCAGGCGCAGGCAGTGACTTGGCTCGGACATCCCTGCACTGGCAGGTGTCCGCAAGGCTGCGTTGAACCGAGATCTCAACCTTTGCACTTTGAACCCCGGCATGCGGCGTGCGGTGTGGGCTCCCCGCGCCTCGCTAGACTTGAGTCTTCTTTCAAAGGTTTGGCTGCAGTCCTGGAGCCTGGCCTTCTCCAGTCCGCGGTCCGCGAATCGGGGCGCGACAGCCAACCTCGAGGCGGCAGTCTGGCTGGGAGAAGGTGACAATGATCATGAATGACACAATGATGGCCACGGTGGAGCGCGGCCCGCGGCCGCGGTGGCGGTTATCGCGGCCGAGATGCCGCGATGCAGCTGCCGTTCGGGTCCGGGCCACTCGGACGGCACGGGGTACGGAGGCAGCGGAGTGCCGTGGGAGGCGCTGGTTGTCGCCGCGGCCGCGGCACGCGCGCAGCGCTAGCGGCCAGGTCGTTGAGGAGCCCGCCGCGACGCCGCGTCCCCATTGGCCGAGCGCGTGCGGAGCGGGGCGTGGCGGGGCGTGGCGGGGCGTGGTGGCGGCCGGCTGCTGGGGCCGCGAGGAGTGTTGCGGGATAATCCGCTCTATGAGGAAGGGGGTATCGCGTTAGTGCCTGAGCGCGGCTAGCGCGGCGAGGCGACGCGGCGCGGCACCGCGAGGCACCGCGAGGCAGCGGCTGCTCTGGCGGCAGCGAAGCCAGCGAAGCGGCGTCCACGGTACGGCGCGGACCAGGGCGACCAGACGACCTTCTCGGTGGAGCGAAATCGCGAACGCGCGCTACGAGTGCCGAGTCACGGGTGTTTCCGAGTTCTGTGCACCTCCGCCCGTCGACAACGGAGCCCGCCACCGGCGCCACAGGACCCCGGCGAGGACGCCGTGAGCACCCCGCGGCGGCATGGGGCGGCAGGGGCAGTGAGGATGAGGGTCCCGCGACGCCGCAGCCCCACCACGCCCCGCGGCCATGTGACGTGACGCCATGGACGGGGAGTCGAACGGGGCGCACAGCCCCCACGGCCACAGCCCCCACGGCCAGCTGGTGGGTGGCTGGTGGAGTCCGGCCTCCACGGACGTGGTGAGTAGCTGCTACGTGTTTCCGACGGTTCGGTTTCGGAGGCTCTCGCGGTGCAGGGAAGTCCAGCGGCGGTGGGCTGTCCGCGCGTGGGCGGACACGCGGACACGGGACTAGCAGTGTAGGGGCATTGGTGGGCGCTTCCTTCCCGCCTACGAGCCAAGCGGAGCATCCTGGGCATCCTTGTCCCTCGCAGCGATTTCTCATATTCACGGCGGCATGTCCAGGGCACCGCGGCCCGCACGCCGGCCAGGGCGAGGGCGAGGGCGAGGGCGGGCAGGTCCGCTCTGAACTGAAAAATCTATTTTATTATCAACGCGTAGATGGCCGCGGCACATTACTCACCCCGGCGGCTTGTTCTCCGCAGCGGGCGGCAGCAGCGAGGCAGGCCGGGCCCTGGCCGGGCAGTGCGCGCCCGTGTCCCGCTGCCGCACCGCGGCGCGAAAAATGGAATGGGGGGCCGGGCCGGGCGACGGCTAGCTTGCCGCCAGTCCCAGTTTGCGGGAACACGCGCCCGGCCAGGACGTCCACGACGTCCGCGACGTCCAGGCTGCAGGACGTCCAGGATGACGGCCCGACACGGCCATAACTCTCGCGGGCGCCGGGCGGGCAGTCCGTCGACGACACGGCGCGGGCTGCGTCCAAAGACGACGCCTCGACGCCCGCCCCTCCCGCCGCCCTTGCCGCCGCCCGCTAGCGCCAGCCGCCACGGCCGCCACCTCTCGCACGCAGCCTGCGGTCGCGCCGCGCGGGAAAGCTCGTTGTGTAGCGTGGTGTCTGGCGACGATCGACTTGATATCAAAATCATGCTAATTCACTGAGTCCGTGTTTATGCAAACGGATGGGCCCAGCGCGATGAGCTAGGACGTCCCGCCCCCCGCCTCGCCTCGCCACGCCGCGACCTGGCCCGGCCCCCCACCCCGCCCCTCGCTTCACCCGGCCCTCCCTAGCGGCTCTGGGTCGTCACTCATCGGCCTCACCCGTTATTATTATTAATTCTGACGACATCCCGGCGACCCGCTGGAGCACACCGGTCACCCGTGATTTTTAATTATTGTTCTCCGTTCCTCTCCCGCTCACAGAAGTTTTTCATGGGTCTCACGTCGCTCGCCACCAGAAGTGCTATAGCAAGTTGATCTAGGCAGGCAGCCGGGCCGGTCCGCACCGGTGCGCGCGCATTGAGAAAGATGACACGGTACTGATCTCCAGCCCGGGCCCCGGGCCGGGATCGACTCGGTGCCAAGTCGCCAAGTGGTGCCGACGAATTCCTCCCCCTCCTTCCCCTCCCTCGCCCCGCCCCGTCGCGCCTCGCGCCTTGCCCATAAATTTCCCTGATTTAATTCACTCTCCGCGTGCCGCGTGCGAGGCTGGGCGGCTGCGTGCGGATAGTGGTCGCGGGATGAATGGGTGCGAGGGAGACGCGCCGCCGCCGCCACGCCGCCACCCGCACTCCGGCCAGCCAGACGGCCGCGACGCCACGCCATGACCGCCATGACCACGCGACGGCGTCGTCTCCGAAACGGCGCGGCTCCGCGGCTCCGCGGCCCCTCGGCGCTCGATGCATGAGTTATGTGCCCCGGTGCGGCGGTCGGGTCGGGGTCGGGCCGCGTCTCCGAAATGGAAGCCTTGTTAAGCAATGTTTGCCGTATCGAGATAATCAGCGGCCCGGGCTGGTGCGTGGCCGATTAATAAATGAAATTCGTTAATTGAAAGCTGTTTTTATTTGGAAGAATGTAATTACCGCGACCGCAGGGGGAAAGTTATTCGCGGACGCGGACAGCTGGGTTCCGAGTTCGCGTCGCCGCGTCGCCGCCCCCCGGAGACCGCGCCGCCTGCGATGCAGGCAACCCAACGGGTCGCCCTGCGCTCCGCGTGGCCCGGCAGCAGGCGGCTCGCCTCAGCGGCCTGGAATCGCCTTTTGCTTCGCTCGCGGAGTTCTCACCGCTGCTTGTTCACTGTCCACAGATGAGCCAGCTTTGTCGGGTGTGCGGAGAGCCAGCGGCTGGGTTCCACTTCGGAGCGTTCACCTGTGAGGGGTGTAAGGTAAGCGTAGGAGCCACGGGACCTGAGGATGTGGATGTGAATGTGTGTGCAGGAAAAGGTCAAAATTTAACGTCGCTTCTTATTCTGCAGTCCTTCTTCGGCCGGACGTACAACAACCTGGGCTCCATCACCGAGTGCAAGAACCAAGGATCGTGCGTCATCAACAAGAAGAACCGCACGTCGTGCAAGGCGTGCCGGCTGCGCAAGTGCCTGCTGGTGGGCATGTCCAAGAGCGGCTCGCGGTACGGCCGCAGGTCCAACTGGTTCAAGATCCACTGCCTGCTGCAGGAGCAGCAACATCAGCACCAGCAACACCAACAGCAGCAGCACCAGCAGCAACAGGAGCAGCAGCGGCAGCAGCACGCCGCACCGCCGGTCAGCCCCCCGGACAAGAGCCCCAAGGGGTCGCCGTCGGTGCCCCGAGGCGCGGCCACCGACGCCCTCTTCGGCGGCGCCCCGCTGCCCGCCATGCTGTGGGGCACGCCGCGAGGGCTGCTGCCCCCGCCGCCCCACGGCCACCCCCTGCAGCTGCCCTTCCCGCCCTTCCTTCCCGCTGCAGCGGCCGCGGCGGCCGCGGCCTTCAACGGCGGCGTCACGACGCCCCTGTTCCCCCTGCCGCCCGCGCACCCCGCGCACCCCCCGCGGCCGGAGTGGACGCGGCACTCGTCACCCCTCCCCCTGGCGCGGCCCGGCAGCACGTCGCCGCCGCCCTCACCGAGGATCCGCGCCGTGCTCAAGACCGTCGTCGCGCCTCTGGGACCGCCAGTGCCCCCACCCCGGCGATCGCCTCCCGTGCGGTCACCGCCTCCGCGCGCAACGGCCTCCCCCAGGCTGGACGTGGACGACACCCTGGAGCAGGAGCAGCCCATGGACCTGTCCAGGACGGCGGCGGCGTCGGGCCGGCAGGACACGGACGAGGCCAGCGACCGGGACGAGGGCAGCGACTCAGGCGTCAGTGAGCGGGAGAGTGACCGCGGCAAGGACGGCGACGCGGACGGCGCGGCCAACGGCAGCCCGGCGTCCAGTCCCGGGTCCAGGCCGCCCCTCGGGACACCCCTCAGGCCGGCCAGCCCCGCGCTCGGCGCCGCCGCGGCCCCCGTCGACCTCACCGCCAGACATTCGTGACACAGCGACGCCGTGCCCCGAGACTCCAACCCGGGGCAGCCGGCTGTCGCCCCACCGCGACGTGACCCCATGTGATATCGTCCCCGTCACTGCGGAGAATGGTTCGTCAGAAACACACGAATCATTTCGCGGAGTGACGGCTTCTCTAGAAATAAGCGGACGGGTCCTCAAGTGAAATGATGTGAAAAGTGAGTTGCGTGGAGTATTCTTCTGTTACGCTGCGTTGAACGCTGCACTGATTTTGCGACTCTCGAGAGCGATCGAAAGGCTACCCGTAGACCCATGTTGAAAGTTCAAAACCTGTACATTGCGCAGTATACATTCATTGAAATGGTAGGTTGTATTTTGTTAGGAATAAAATTGTCTTTATTTTTATTTATACTAAATGGTAAAAACGCCTCTTGCTTATTTACACCACCGCACCACCATCGGGCCCCTTTGTGTGTGAAAGTGTGCAGTACGCGATGCAGGAAGGCGCCCTGGCCAGCACGAGACGGGACGAGAGACGCCGCGCCGCGGCCCGCGGCCCGGTAGGCACTGAGCACGGTCCTATGATACACAAATGACTGTGCGAATTCGCAGAGCAAAGGTTAATGGCTCCGGGACTTTCTCCGACACGACGACGCAGGCCGGGCCGCTAGAGGGCGCGCAGCGCTTACTCCGCACCGCGGTGTATGCCGGGGGCCGCGACGAGCGCGACGCCGCGACGCGACGACGCCTAGCTCCCGTTTGCCCGGCAGCGTGGTCCTCGACAGGCTGTGCATTCGCTGCATACGTCGCTTTGTCCCTCTCGCACTCTGGGTGGGCATTGGGTGGGCTTCTAAAATGTAAAAATGTACTGGGAGTCGAACCCTAGCCCTACGAGATATGCGGGTCATCGCGCTTACGCGCTCGGCCGCCGCCACTTCTGTGGAGTACGTCGCAGGTCCCACTCCTGCCTCTACACTGTGGCATCCCGAGAAAATCATGATCACGTGCAGGGGCTAGGGTTCGACTCCCAGCAATTCGTTACATTTTAGAAGTGGCTTTCCCGATGTGGTTTGGACCCGTTGCGCCACTCAGCTCACCCGGTGAGCCGCGGTGGCCGAAGGTGTTGAGATGTCTGACTCCTACTCCCGGATCGAGTGATCGAATACCAGCTTCCCTCTCTTTTTGTCTGACTATACGGTTCGGACCAGCGGCTTCAAAGGCTTCCCTTCGCCCATCGTCACCCATGGGCCGTGGTGGCCGAGAGCGCAGAGGCGTCGGTCCCCTAATACGCAGTCCGGGGTTCGATGCCCAGTACGGCAGTATAAAAATGAATATTTTGACCAAGCTTGCATCGCAAGAAGGCGGTTCAAGTATACAAAATCGGCCGCTTATTGGCGTGCCTCTCATAGCCCAGTGGTTCCGCTGCTGGGCAGGGTGACGCAGACTCCTGAGTACCAGTAGCATGGCCCCTGAGTGGGAAGGGGGCCGGGGATCGAAACCCAACTACTGGGAAAGGTGGCAGCCTGGCCTACTATGAGAGGACTCCTCCACATCACAGATGACGTGACCAATGACGGGGCCACTGCGGTTTAACTCTGAGGTTGCTCCTGTGATGAGATGGGGGAACTGTCTGGTGAGCACCACTCCCGCAGGGAAGAGGGCCGGTTCGCCGGGGTGCCCTCTTTCGCTGAAATTTTCTATATCGGGTTGATTTTACTTCTATTACTCTGAATATATTTGGTGGTAAAATGTCTTTGTATTGTCCTGCATCCAGTCTTGATTGACATAGAGAGTGAGCCGCGGGTGTTTAGATCCATTGAGCGCCGCCGAGTTGCCTCTAGCTGCAGCCTAACCGTGTGGCGGTGTTAGTGAGTGGGACAAAACGGAGGTCGGACAATAGAAGTTCGGACAAAATTTTCAGCCGAGATTCACGGGCAAGTGAAGTTTGGACAGGTCGGACAAAAGAAGGTCGGAAAAACGATGAGCACCGCTGCGTTCCGGTCGGTCCAGTTTCGGACACAGGCTCATCGTGAAGCTGCGGAGCGCAGGGCAGGGCGCCGCGGGGCGGGGACCACCAACAAGGACGACGCGCGCGGACTTTGATGGACGTGGAAACATTTAGGCGAATTCCTTCGCAAGCGCGGGGCGGCGGGGTGGCGAGGCGCGGCAGGCCGCTGGCGTCGCGCTGACATCCGATAGCCTGCAGCGCGGGCCATGCCTGGACGTGCCGTGCCCGGCCGGGTCCGCGGCAGGGCGGCAGTCCCATCCCTTATCGCGTTATCGCCCCGCATTCGCAGCCTCTCGCGTCATGGCCGTCAGGGCCGTCACCTCGGCCAGCGGGGCGCCGCGCCGAGCCACCCAGGGCGTCTGCGTCAGGCAATGCCAGGCAGTGCCGTGACGACGGCCTGCTCGGCCTGCTACGTGAGGCGGCGCTTGCGGGCCTGCGCCACGGAGCACAGCAGCCTCAGCGTGAAGAAGTAGATGAGCTCCACGAACGTGATGAGGCTGCAGCCCAGGAAGAGCGCCGCGGTGCCGCCGAACGACACTGCGACAAGGAGGCCGAGCGTCAGCGTCGAAAGTCTCACAGTGTGTCTCACAGTGCAGTGTGTCCGAGGAGTGACGGTACCCTACCCAGCAGGTCGCTGAAGGTGAAGATGATGGAGCGCTTGACCCTGGTCTTGCTGTACAGCTCGATGGCCCAGCGGAAGCGGATGTTGTCCGGGACGGGGTAGGACCTGCGGGGCAGCCGCGGAGAAGCGCAGGTTAGGTGAGGCTTGGTTGGGTTTCGTCCGGAGCTGGCGTCTGAATCCGACAGCGGCGGGCTGCGTGCGAGTGTGAGGACAGCCCCTAACTCCCGTCCCAGAGTCGCGAGAAGCAGTTAGTATCGAGGACACGACGCCGCGAGAGAGAGAGAGAGAGAGAGAGAGAGAGAGAGGCGATTTAAATTTTCAGGGAGACTCATTTCGCCGAATGTTATGGGGCTGCTATGAGGAAGTGGTGACGCGATTTACAGTGCTGAATCCTACACCGTAAATAAACACTCACACACACACACACATACACACACTCCTCCCCCTTCCCCTTGCCTCGGCCCGCCATTCACAACACGCCATTGGGCCGCCGTAAATCGGCGCGGTTTTTCCGGGCGGGCCAGCACCGGGCCAGCACGGCCAGCACGCGCCGCGCGAACCACAAATTGCGGACTGAAACGTTTAGCCGCGGCGAGAGGCGACAAAATGCAACCCCGCAGCAGGTTCTGAGCAGTCGGCAACGCCATAACCAATAAAGATTAAACGCTCGGCGTTTGCAAGACGCGCGGCGCGCGGGGAAGCGGGGCGGCCGCACTCACGCGTGGCAGGGGAAGTATAAGTATTCAAAGGCGATTCCGAAAATAGAGAAAGAGTGAAGCTGCTGGAAGGAGGGGGCGCCTCGTTAATGGTTTCGGAGTGATTCACGGCTCGCGGCCCGCCGTCTGACTCAGTTTTCAATTTGGCCGGCGGATCCCGAATGGGGCCGGGCCGGCGGCGTCCCTCCCTTCTGGAGACGCGCCCGCCCTCGCGGCCCGCGTCGCGGCCTCTGAGAGTCCCGACCCGAATCGGACTCGGACGCACCAGCTTCGCTCGAAGTTGCGGTCCGTCGTGTACCGGATCTCCTCGCACGAGTGGTAGCACTTGCACTGCGCCTCGGGGTCCTCCTCGCGCAGGGCCACCAGCTTGTCGGCGTGCTGCGCCAGGCACGCCAGGCCGTCCACGTCGCACATCTTGACGCCGTCGCCGCGGTCGCCGTAGAAGTAGGGCGCGCAGCCGCAGTAGCGCAGGCACAGCTTGCGCCGGCAGGACATCATGCACAGGTTGTACGAGTACACCGGGTACGGCTTGACGCCCTCGTCGAAGAACTGGCAGCGGCGCTGGCGGCGCGTCAGCGTCCGCAACTGCTCGTCCGCGATCGTCTCCAGGAAGCGCACCGTGGTGTCGCGCTCCTGGCGGGAGTGCACGGTGAAGGGCTTGGAGGCCGAGTCGGGGATCTCGTAGGGCGAGTGCACGTAGTACTGCAACAGGGCCGAACAGGCCAACATGAAGGGGCTCCTGCCTTGGCTCCTGCAGTGAAACACGCCCGGCCAGCCACCGAGGACCTCACCTTGACGGGGCCCTGCAAGTCCTCGACGCGGGCGTAGCAAAGCGAGTTGAGGAAGTTGCACTGCGGTGGCTTAAAGTCCTCGAAGGGCGTGTTCCTGCGCACGGGCAGGTAGCGCGCCGTCACGGCACTGTACGAGTAGCAGATGCCCATCTCCGTCAACGTCTCCGTGAAGTTGATGGTGGGCGATGTGTCGAACACGGTGGCGCGGAAGAACACCTTCAGGTTCACCTGCGGCGCGGGAAAGTTGTTCTGGTGAGACGTGTGCGCCGCCGTGAACACCGTCATCGTCATCACCAGCACCACTCACCTTGTCGGCCAGGTCCAGCATGTTCACCGCGTTGAGCTCCTTGTCGCCTTTGAACTCCTTGAACACGTCCAGGGACCAGAAGCTGGCGTTCGCCACGGCCTCCACGAACTTGTAGTAGCGCCGGTAGTCATCTGTGTCGTTGTCCCGGGCTCCCCACAACCTGTCCAGCAGAATTCCCTGGCATAACGACAGGCTCGGTATGCGAGTTTCACAGATAGGTGAGCTGTCGGACATTGCGTAAAGTATAGCGCACAAAATGAATTTAAACCCGGTGACCCCGGGACTCACTCCGCTATCTGGTCCTGCACCCTGAGCTCGTCTAAGCGCCGGTCGTAGCACATGGTGGCCGAGGGGAAGCTCGTGTTCCAGAGGCGGAAGTCCTTCTCCAGCTGCACCACGGTCGGGTTGTCCTGGAAGCGACGCCACGATCCGCCGATGAGCAGGATGGCCCCCGTCACCGAGGCCACCAGCGCCACGGTCCACAGTGCCCTGACGACACGGAGTACGGATTGACGCTGTCAAAGAGCGGGAACGACGATCCGTCTCGTTCGGTCTGCCACCGGCGAGGCCGGCCCCTCCGGCCCGAGAGCCAAGTGTCCCATGAGTTGCCTACCCCACCCCGTGGAACCCCTGCCAGATGTAGCATGGGCACGCCCGCCGCGCGCACGAGTCCGATGGGTTGCCGGACGCGTCCGATGGGTTGCCGGACGCGTCAGATGGGTTGCCTACCACCGCGGCGCTCCGCTCCTTTCCAGACGCTCCGCGCCGCGCTACATCGTCTCGCTACTCACACGTCGAAGTAGTTGCCCTTGTCGAGGATCATGTACCGCAGCCCGTGCAGGGTGGACTGCTCGAAGAACTCCCTGACGTAGAGGCCGACGCGCGAGATCATGCTCTTCTGGGGCAGCAGGGAGTCATCGCTCCGTGCGCTCAAGGTGCGCGCCGAGCCCTGATCGTCGCGCCCGTCGCGCCCCCAGTCCGAGTCCTTGCTCTTGCTGGAGCCGCGGTCCGCCAGCGCGTGGTGTTCGTGGTGCCGAGCGGCGGTGTGCCTTCCCTGGGAAGGGGAAGTGACCATCTTGGAGGACATCTTTTGCTCGGCTACATCATCGGGGCTGTGGCTGCCGACAGGGGTTGGGTCCGTGCGGCACTGGCGTGCTGACCGCGCCGTGACCGGGGTCGCTCCGCCACGAACCGGTCACACCGCGAGACTAATCGCCTGGCGGGGCCGTCCCGTCCAGTCGCGTGCGCCCCGTCAAACCGCCCCATCTACCATCTGACCTTGTCACTCAGGGGCGGACAAGCCCCCCCCCCCCTTTTTTTTCTCGTTCCAACAATCCCTGAAGGCTGTGAAAATGCATGAATGAACTGCCTACCCAGCCGGGGCCCATACCCTCTACGCAACTGCCAGATGCAGCTAGGCTTCATGTAACTCAAAATGTGAACTTCATTTAACCGCGTGGCGTGACGCTGCACGCGAGGGGTGGAGAACACACCGACCGCCCCCCGTGACTGACTACCCCCGTACTGGAGGCATCATCTGATCCGATAAACGCTACACGGCTGTTCCATTACCCCTGCGTGCCACGGCGTGCCACGGCGTGCCACGGGGTCTTCGATTGACAGCGAGACTGTGCAGCACCCCACATGTGTGCGCATGGCCAGAAAGAACCCTCTTTCAACCCCAGAGTTTTGTTTGGGAGAATCAACAGGAAAATAGTGAAATCAGACATAGTGATTGATTAGAATTTATTACAAACAAAATTGCAAATTAACAGATGATAAAGTGAAATTATTAATCAACATTCAATAAATTGTTCAACTGAATAGAAAAATTAAACAGAAACACAACTTTCTTCATTATTAACAATAGTAATAATTTGCATCAATACAAAACAAAACAAACCATTCTTTTCACCAACCAGATTGTCAATCTAGATGGTGTAATGTACAAACAATGAGAAAAATAAAGTATTCTTTTTCAACAATAAATCAAGAATCAACAATTCGAAAAGATGCTCAAATAAAATGGAAGAGCTTGAAATAATAATATTCCAGGAGGTCATAGTTGAATGCATTCTAACAGCCCTCAAATACATTTCATACTTTCTTCCATGTATGCTTTATATTCTTGAACCCAAAAATTTTTCCAAGCGTTCAAAACTAACCAGTAGCCGCTCTCCACAAAGTATCTGTCTAGTAGCTTTGACAATTGCAACATCGCCTTTCAAAATAAGAGCCTGCAAAGAATAATTAAATTAGGATTTAAAAATTTTATTTATGACTTCTTATAACAAGAAATATCTACCTCTGTGTTACTATTCCCTTCTTTTCTTTTTAAGTAAGCAAGAGGACCAAGCACTACAAAGTTGCGGCCTTCCTTAAATTTGGGAAAGACCCACGTCCTCAGTCTATTTTTATCCTTGTCTTTTTCTGAAGGTTTTATAAACAATCCATTAAGTCCATCAATACATTCTCCTTTGAATCTGAAATGAAATAAATTATTCATTACAACAGTTATCCATGCCACAATTCACAAAATAAGCAAAAACTGTAAAAAATCACTTCTTACATGTGCCTGGTAGCAACAACTCTCAAAGATGTTGCTTTCTTCTTTAAGTTTAGATCCAAATCACTTACAATACTGCAGGTGTCATCTTCCTCACCAATTTTTGCTGCTTCAATTATGAAAGGCACAGTACGAACTAGAGATAACACAAACATGGATACCTGAAAGGGTCAAATTAAAAAAATTATTGGAAGAGAAGGATTTTTTTTTAAATCCAAAAGACCTATAAAGAGAAGGTTACCATTGATTTCAATGCAAAGAGGTCCACGTCTTTCCATCCCATTGACATAATGCGGTTTACAATATCGTCCGGGCTTGCACCACTTCTCAAATCCCACAAAGATCGTGAAACACACTTGTTGTCATGTGATGGAGGCTCATAACTAAAAGACACAAGAGAAAAAAGTTATGACCAACATCTTTAACTGAGGATTTGTGGAAAAACAAAGGCTTACTCTCGAGTTGCTCTCCGAGCATTAATTCCACGCCATGGATTGAGCAGAATACTGATTGCTAAGTCATGAGCCTTCCCAAGTTCATACACAGAAACTTCTCTTAGCATCCGTATTTTTTCCTGAAAAATCTGCTCTGTAAAGAAAGAAGGAAACATCAATAACATAAGGCTAACAGGATCCACAGCTGTACGAGCAACCAACCTTGATTCAATTGAGATGGGACGGATGGGGGAGGCATAGTTGGCTGAGACACCAAATCCAAATCTTTTTCAGGAACCTCCTTAGTAGATTTATCTTTAAGCCATTTTTTGTTCATGGCGTCAAATCTCTCTTTAATTTGGTCTGCAAAATTTTGTTTCTTATCATGCATACCCTGTGCCAATTCAACTATTTCATTGTAGGATAAAGTCTTTTTCCTCTCTTTTGGTGGATTTCCTTTAGCTTTTGCATCACTGGTCTTCTCCGCTTTCTTACTTTTGTTTTCCGCAGAAATTTCAATTGGCACTTCAGGTTTCTTAATTTTGCCATTCTTGGAAAGTCCAGTTTGTTGCTGAACGTTCTGAGCTTTGCCTTTCTTGGAACATTTGTCATCAGTTGAAGATTTTTCAACATCAGTTTGTTTTTTTGCAATGTCCTGTTTCTTTGAGGAGCCCGAGACAGACACAGCCTTTTCCTTTGAAACTGATGAAATTGCCTTCCTCTTCCGTAGTCTCGTTGTTAATGGAGAGTCATCATCAATTTCACTGGTCACACCATCTGTCCAGAATATGAAAAACAGGTAATTTTAATGAAAAGTAAAGGCGGATTGTAGACAGTTTGAGCAGTGAAATTCTATACCAGCCTCTTTATTACCATTGTTCTCTTCCACCTGTGCTGGAGGAAGTGGTAGTGGTGATGAATGTCCAGTATCTGAAATTAATAATCACATGCCAATAGCACAGTCACTTGACAAGTAAGGAATTTCATTCATTTACCAAAAGTATTACAATACCTTTTATGGGTGGGATATCTTCTATCATCTTTAAATCCTCGGTTACTTGTTTACCTTTATGAAAGACTACAGGTAATGGAGAGGGAGGATTTTTCTTAAGTGACAGCCTACGTTTCTTAGGAGTTGGGAGAACAGTCGGTGAAACTTCAGGAACCTGTGAAGTAAATTTACAGGTACTAAGCAAATTGAGATTGAAAATGAAAAAACAAAAAATGAAACAACAATTTACACAAGACATTACATACATCATCCTCATCTACCACTGCAGGTTCATTTTCTTTCTCATTCAAAATTTGTAAGGCTGAAATGCCAACTTCTCCTTTCCTCAGGGGTGGAGGTTGAAAAACTCTAACATTTTTGAGTTCTGCTGGCAGTTCACGGGTTTTCTTTGTCATGAACAAAAAGTTTTGACTCGAAGGAGGTGATTTCTGATGAGGATCTTTATGAAGTTGTTCCTGCTGGCGCCATACCATAAGAATATTCTCCATTTCAGATGCATCCATTTCCTCAAATGCTACGGAATCCTTTATCTGTAAATATAAGAAGTTATTGTAAGTAGTGCTTGGAAAGTTATCAATCAGAAACAAAACTGACAAAGATTACCATCTTTTCTGTTGCTTGACTATTCAATTCATTCATTTTTGCAGGGACTGTAGTTTCAAAATCGTTTAAGTGGCAGTCAGAATTGTTCCTTGTGATGTCCTTTTCACTAGTATGTGCTAATTCATCATCAGAGGTTGTACTGCTGATTGCATTAGCTTTACAGGCATTATCTTTCAGCTCATTGGTTTGACAATGCCTAACATCCATTTGAGTTTCTTCAGTTTTGCTTTCATTGATGATAGGCACATTATTTTCATTTGTTTGAGGGGATGTAGGACCTGCAACTTCTTCATTACAAATCATGTTCTGATCATTTTCTTCTGCATCCATCACAAGAACAAAATCCTCTGAACTATTCAGTGAGTTAGTCACAGAAGATTTAGGAGAACTATTTATCTGATTTCCTGTTTTGCAGTCAGTTGGAACTGAAGAGTTTTTAACAGAATCATTTTCATTCTGAATAATGTTGGAGGGAATATTTTCTGTTTTGTCCTCAGAATGAATTATTGTAACAAGCCCAGCAGCCAGCATTTCTTGAAGAAGTTTATTTGAATTTTCCTCAAGCGAAATGATGGTTGGACCATTGATTGATTCAAGGCAATCCATTTTCCCGGCAAGACCTGCGAAGCAGAACAGAATTGGAATTGTATGAAATAATATTAAATGGTAGTAAAAGTTGTGAAATTGAATGAAAATAAAACCTTTTTGTTGTTCAATCTTTTTAGGTGGAGAAGGAACCTTGAATAGATGTGCATCTTGACGTTGACCCTGAGCAGAAAGAAAAATATTTTTAATACCTACATGAGTTATTCATGATTTAATTAATGAATAATTTAATTTTCCCGCCTATGCCAGTTTTGTAAAAATACAAACCTCAGGGGGAGGACTTGTACGAAATCTAGTACAATCCCCAGCAAGCTGGAGTAGGTCTGGGGTCACACAAGAAAGAACAGACTTAGAAATAGTAGAAGCAGATTTTGGAGTCATACGTTTCTCCTCTGGAACTGGCTTTAAACACATTGTTTTAGATTGCACAGCAGGAGGTGCACACTGAGTCTCTGATCTTGCAGTTCTGATAATGGTTGGCCCCACCTGTTGATGAGCTACCATATTATTTTGAAGATCACTTTGCGCGTTTTCAAGAGAATGGACTACTGCCTTCAGATTTGAAACAGCAGTATTTGAAGGAGTAGTGGAAGTCCCGGCAGAACAATCCCTCACATTATTATTCTCCTCAGTTCTTTGTTTGTCAGCAAAATTCTCTCTTCTGGTAGAAAACTGGAAAAGTAATTCTTCACATATCTGCTTTAGAGTGTATTGAGTACCAAGACTCCCATCAGGAACTCGCTTGCTGGCATGACTGGCCTCCATTTGCCGGCATGTTTGTTGTGGAAACTCTCTTTCTTGTTGTAAACCCGAACAGGGAAACACATTGATCACTGGCTTAGAGCAACAAGCACATGAAGGGACAAATGCCCTTCCACAAGATTTGGGTTGTATGGTGATATGTGAATTGGCAACATCACACAGGTCTGAATTAGAATTTTCTTGTATGCTGGTTTGTGAGGACTTTTCTTCTAAACTGAGGAGTGTGGTTTGAGTTGCTTCATCCTTCAGAACGGGCCCCTGCTCAACATTATTCCCACAGTCTTCATTGGTGGCGGAAATTTCATTGACAGGTAAAGAGTGATGTTCAGTGACAGGTGGAGAGACAGGCTTGTTGCCAACCACAATTTTGGGAGCATAATCAAGCACCTGAATTGAAATAAAAGAGTTTGAGTAATGAGTGCCGAGTGCCAAGTAACAGATACCTGGTAAGTTAAAAACATTAAGAATAATTACAACTTACCTTGAAATTCATGACTGAAGTATAACCATTATTGCCATTAGAAACTTTTCGGCCAAATCTTATTTTTCGAGTCACAGCTCTGATCATACATAAAGCTGTCTTGATAGCCGCCTTCTTGGAATGAAATCTTTTTCTATGCTTTAGGCTCCTCTTTGCATGTTTACGTACTTTTCGTTTACTAGGTGATAATTTGACCGACTTAATATATTTTCCAGGTGAACAAAAAACACAAAAATCAATGTTGTAGAGTTAAAAAGACAATGTCATTCATTAGATACACTCAGAGGTTATAGGTACTCACCAATCCCTTCAAAGATTGAAGTTGTTCAGTTTGACATGCCCTATTCAAGCCGAGATCAACTTTGATTGTTTCCCACAGCATGTCATTACTATCTTCTGTGGATTCGCTCCCGTACCCACTTGCCTCATTCATCTTATTTTTCGATTCACAGAGGCCAAACGGAGTTATTCACAACACCACTGCACTGTTCCAAAGTTGAATCCGTCACTCTGCACGTTCACCGGAACAACTTCAGGGGGCCAACCTGCGTGCTGGAAGACGAAAACAGGCGAAGACTGTATAGGAAATAGGAAACAATAAGAAGAAGTAAAATATCATGATGATGGGACCGTTGCAGCACAATCCATTTCAATCCGTGAATGTTCCACGAATGATACCGGGAGAATCTGAAACCGCAGGGGTACTTCTTGTGTATGTTGGCAAAAGTGTACTTCGAAGCTCCTCCGCCAGATGGCAGCAGTGCGCTGGCGTTGGCGCCAAGACAAGTGGCGGTCAGGTCAAGTCATTCAAAAACAAGAAGCTCTAAGGATGAATAATGCGTTTAATTAAGCGTTTGAAATAAAGTCTTAGCTAGACACAGAATGAGGAAACCTAAATCGGCACGAGCCAGAAAATTGCTGATCGCCGGACAGTTTTCATTTGTTTTCTGAGGAAGTCCTGATTTTGTAATCAACTCAACTGGGGAGGGCGATACAGCGCCAGCAAGTTCAGACCTGCACTGACGATGATAACACAGCACGTGCCTCGGCTGTGTAAACAAACCTAGATCCACCACTTCTTTTTAAAACGAAACCCACATTTTTTAGGAGGAGTTCAGACCAGAAAAGAAAAGTGAGGGGCAGTCAGAAAAAATAATTTGCTTGTCTGCGGTCAAAATGCCACGACCTCAAAACGAACATCTAAAACACATCTAAAGGGGGTTCGGAAGAATCAGGATTTTGGTCTGTCTAGCTGACTAAAAACAATCTACGTGTTTTCAAGAATGGATATAGACACTATGTAATTCAAACTCGCTTCAGGCGGGGAGGGAAGCCCACTCCCGGCATGCTACCTGTTGCACGTTCCCCGGCTTCGTTGTTGCTGGTAGCGATCACAGCTCACTCCGTGTGGCCATGCAGCTCCGTCGAACGCGAGTTTCGAACTAGCGCTCACTATCACCCGGCACTTCTCCACGGCGAGTGCAGCGCGGGAAGCGCGCCCTGCCGCGCCCTGCCACGCCCTGCCGGCCGGGGACGATAACCTATTGGCCCATCGAGGCCCTGCGGCCCTGCGGCTCGCCCCTCCAGACAGCGGCAGCCAGGTTCTCCCCTCCCCCACTCCCCACACACCAATAATAGTCGAAGCAATTGAACAAATAACGCCGCACTGCGACGAGAAAGCCACGTGCATCGGCGCGGCGGGCAGTGTGCACATTTCCGACACTGGAAGTCCAAGTCCACAGGTGTCCTATGGCACGTTCATAATACTTGATGGCGTGCGTCTTTGCGTTTCAGTCTTGCACTGGCTTGGCCTGGCTCGGCTCTGTCGGCTGGCGCTTGATCCAGCAGAGGATGTTGGCCCAGACCAGCGAGCTGGTGCCGACGTACACCACCCTGGCAGCGGACGGCACGAACAGGAAGTTGACGCTCTGCACCGGCAGCCAGAAGAGGCACGACGTCTGGAACGTCTTGACGTACTTGTTGCGCATCTCCTCGAACAGGTCCTCGCGGCCCTCCAGCAGGGCCATGGCTGAGGAAAACGGCAAAGTTAGAGCTAGTCGGGGCAACGGAAGCGCGAAGCGGGCGACCCTTACTGATGTAAAAGGCGACTAGCAGCTGAGGTGTCATGAGGAACTGGTCCAGCAGCACCTTCTTGACGATCGTCTTGGTGGCGGTGCCGGCGTACTTCTTGTCGAGCCATTTGTACCTGGGACAGCCACGGGGGAAAGTTAGTTCAGAAAACAAATCGCGCAAGTTGCATTTGCAGGGTGTCACACTTATTGTTTTCACTCGTTACCAAAAGTACAAAATGTGCGAGCCGACGCCGCAGCCGAAGATGGCATAGCGACCGAGGGCCGCCTTGTCGATGGGTTCGGGCGTCGGGGCCTGGTTGGTCGAACAAGAAGCCACACTGTAAAAGGGGGCGACACGCTCGCGCTCCACTCCACCGCCATTCGCTGGCGAACTTACCAAAACTTTTTTCGTCACCACTTGCTGGGAGAGCTCCGCCGTGACGTACAGGGAGCCGAAGGTGACCGCGTTGGCCGTCACCGGGTACTTGCTGAAGGCGTGCTTCACCAGCCGCAGGGCCATCTCGTCTCTGCAACAGGTGCGACAATGAGGCAGGCCAAGGCGGGGCAGGCCAGGGCGTCTCGCACCGAGGTGTCGGCTAATTAAAGTCCCACCAGCGCACAGCGCCACGTTATCGGCCCTCATGGCCTGATAAAGAAGCAGCCAGCCCGCCGTGTTTTATCGGCGCCTCGCTCGGGAGCGCGCGTGCGTGCGCGCGTGCTCGGCGCGGGAAGCGTTTGAACGCGGCGCGGGAAGTTTGGCGGAGGGGGGCGGAGGCGCACGCGTGAGTGCGTAGTCCACGGAGTCCGCGGCAGCGGAACCGGTCTCTCTCTCACTCTCTCTCTGGGTGTCGACCGCCGACCGCGTCGAGTCCGGCCGGGCCGCCCGACACAGCTGTCAGAGCGGCGCCTACCTAACCTCACAGCCCAGCCAGCCCAGCCGGCCGGCAAGGGCGGACCGGCAGTGAGTGCAGCGCCGCGGTGGACAGCCCCGCACCGCCACCTCAACCACCATCCATGGACTCCATGCCGCCGCCAGGCTCGTCGGCCGACGGCGTGGCGGTCGCCTCGGACAGCAAGGACAGCCAGCCCCGCGGAGGGACGTCGGGGACGTCTCTACGCCACTGCCTCCAGAACGACGTGCCCGCGCGCCGTGAGTATGCTCGACTCAGTGGTGCTCGAGCGAGGCAAGCGAGGTGAGTCGAGCGCGTTGCTGACGTTGCCGAGTCGTTGTGACCGCAGCGAGTGCAGCAAGTGCAGCGCGACCGGCGTAGAGCCCTTCCTTCTCGTCGGCGCGGCCGAGGGCCGACCAGCCGCCGCCGGCCCCGCGCGTCCCGTCGCCTCGTAAGTGGGACCAAGGCCAAGGGGACTCCCCTCCCCTTTCCGGGACACCGCGGCCCACACCATTTAAATTTCTATCGGGCCGGGGGCGTCCCGTCCGGCGGCCTGGTCGTTGACTCGGATCCTACGCTCCGCAGTAAAATGAGTTTCGGCAGGAAAAAGCGTCGGCGCCGAGTCGATCTGCGATGATCCACGTGTACGCGCTCCCGCTCCACGGTCAGAATGGGTTCGATCGGGATGGGTTTCCCCGAGGAGGCAGCACTAGCACAGCGTAGCCGTCGTGATGGAACCCGTTCTACCGGCACCCAGCCGCAGCCGCCGGCCGCCGATCCGTTGTGGTCTAGCCCGTAATGGCAATGGTAACGGGCCCCGTAGGCCAACCCGCTCAGCGCGTGTGACGGCACGCTGCCTACCTGCACGGCGCCTGGACCCGCGCGCTGCCGCGCTGCCGCGCTGCCGCCTCCACGACCGGAGCCGAGAGTGGCGCTCTTTTTTGACGAGTGTCGCGGGCGTCGCTGAGCGAGTGGCCGCGCAGGCCGTGGAGGCCGCGGCCGCGCAGGGAAGGCCGTCCTTCCACGTCCAGTCGCCAAGGCGTCACGCGCGGAATTTTCCTGACCGTGCTCGATGAGTCACGGACACGCACGCGCACTCACTCACACAGACACACGGAGACATACACAGACACGCGCAGTACGTTCCGCACGCACCTGCACAGGGCGACGCTTGTCGCTGCAGTACACGAGTACACACCACCGGCCCGCGGTCCGGTCCACATGCAACTGTACGGGCGGACGGCGGGGCGGACACATCGCGGCTCCACACTCCGCCGACCCAGCTGGTTAGGCGGGTCTTGAATGCTCGCCCGTGGCGGGGCGGAGGGGGGGGGGCGTAGACTGGGGGGCCTGCGGGGCCCGTGGGCATGAACTTGACAGCGATGAGCGCAATGAGAGAAAGAGACGGAGATACTGCGCGAGCACCACGAGTCCGTCGGCAGCACAGTGCCCCCCCCTCTCGCATACGAACCAAGGATGTTCCTTGATACGAACGCTCACACGCACGCACACCTTTTGCTGGACAGTCCGCTCCGCAGCCTTATCTCTCCCAGCAGCTGGGCGGCCAGAGAAGATTACCACGGACTTCATGGCCGCACGGCCCGTGCCCGTGCGCCCGTGCCCGCAGCACAACGCCGAGAGTCTCTGCCGCGCGGCGTCCCGCCCGTCCTGCCCGTCCCGCCGGGCTCGGCGGCGATACTCCGCGCTTGGAGAGACGTGCTGCAGCGGAGCAGCGCGCTCACGCGTGATGGAGATGGAACCGACCACGGCTGCGGCTACGAGCAGTGAGGCTTGCACCACGCCCTTGCGCGTAATTGTAATTGTTTTGCCTCGAGTACGTTTTCGGGACTGCCGCCAAGAGATGCACGTTAAAAGTAATCTCACAGACACGACATCTAAAATGGTATCCAGAGTACGCGTTACGCGCATCTACGCGACCCAAACTTGGCCACATTGTAGAAGAGAGTGATTTTTAACAACGAAAGTTTAGGGAACGAATTCATTTTGTCCGTGGGATTCCCGAAAGTGCTCTCCAAACGATTTATATTTGAATCTGGGTGTGGACGCGCGAGGCGCGGAATCGGATAGCGCGCCCAATATTGTTGTAGCCAAGGTTGTAGCGAAGGTGAAGGCCGAGTCCGGGGGCAGCTGGGGCAGCCCAGACTTGAGAGAGCCTCCGGCATGACAACTGTCAACCTGCCCCGCGACTCGCCACGCCCGCTCGACGGCCACCGGCCCGCCCGCCCGCCGCGCACGTGGTCCGCGGAGCCTGGCGCAGCCCCTCCACATTTTGGCAACGCTCCGCTCGGTTCCGCTCCGCTCCGCGACTCAAAACGTCTGGGCCGCCCAGCCCAGCCAGTCGGCTCGTCGGCTAGTCGTCGGTGCACCTTCACCTGGTGCGCAGCGTGTAGCGCGTAGCACTCGCACCGCCTTGGCGCCTTGGCCTCGCGTCTCTTGCCGCGGCCTGCACGGACAGACAAGTGAGTGACCACCCAGCGCACCCACAGCGGGTCGAGCTGTTCGGTTAATCTCATTACGAAAGTCGCAGTCGCACAGGAAGTACGATCTGCTCCACGCCTCTCACCAAGTCTTGGAGCGTTAAGGTTGTCTTTCGGCGCCCCCACCCACCCCCGCGACGTGCCGTATCGACAATACCCCTTGCCCCTGAGGCCTTCGTCAAGGCCACCGTCAAGGCCGTAATCCTTGTTTTCAACTAACTTGCGTATTTTGGAAACCTTTGGTACACGGCAAACCTCTTAAAACGACACAATTATCTAAATATAATATTCGGAATAATGCATATAATACTCTATAATACCTATAATATATAATACCTCGTACACGGTTCGGGAGAGTCAGCCCCCTTGTGAAATACCGACTGTGATTCTCCTGTTTGGTCAAAAAACAGTCCCTCGTGTGGTATATAAATCGAGGCGTCTCTGGTTTGATGTCAGTTTACTCCCTGATACTCTGATATTCTTTAGAAGGCCCATCCCGGATGGGCCATCCACCCAGCAACCAGAACTCACAACACACACTCACACACACACATGCAAACTTCATGTCACGCTGCCGGTTGCTTGACGGCCTGTGCCATTATGTTCCAGAATAATGACACAGCAGACAGGCACGCGGCTCGTTCTGCCGGTAGCCCTCGCGGTAGCCCCGGTGGCAGACGAAACACAAAGGCGGTCAAAGGTTAGGCATCACCGGCATTGCGCCCAGAACACACCAGAAAAACGTTGACGATTGTGTTTGTTGCAGTGGGGACTCGCCTGATGTGGGCGACGGTGGTCGTCGTCGCGGCGCTCTTCTTCGGCGCCTCGCAGACCGCGGACGACGGTGAGTGGGGGAGCGGGGAGGGGGAGGGGGGCCGCGGCCAAGGTCAAGGCAGCAGCCGCCACCGGAGGTTCATCCTGGCGAACCAGGTCTCCGTGGGACTGCGCGGGCTGCGACTGGTCTTGGGCACGACGGGGTCCTTGTCGTGGGGGAACCCCTCGGGGAACCCCGTCCCCAGACTGGTGGCGCGGTCGCCCCACATCCCCACTGCCCCGACCGTCCCGAACATCTTGCGGAGCCCTGAGCTGGGCGCGTCCCTCTGGACCTTGTCCGTTGCAGAGTGCACCGGCCCCACCGTATCGACGCGCCTCGGCCAAGTGTGTGGCCGCACGGCGGTGTCCAAGACCTCGGTCACCTATCAGTCCTTCCAGGGCATCCCGTACGCCAAGCCGCCCGTCGGCGACCTACGCTTCAAGGTAAGTACGCCCTTCTAGGATGATGCGGCGGGGTGGCAGAGGCAGAGGTGGCGGAGGAGGCTCAGCCGGCGCTTTCTCAGGGCGTGGTTTGTTTGGTAATTGCGAAATGGGAACCAGCCTAGTGGTAATCATCGTACTGAGTGGTGACGTGCCTTGCTCCCGCAGGACCCCCAGCCAGCCGAGCCATGGACCGGCGTGCTGCGCGCGCTGCATCCCGGGGCGCAGTGCTTGCAGTCCGGCCAGGGCGGCGTCGTGGAGTCGCTGTCGGTGAGTCCGAGTCTCGGATCGTCCTGGCCGCACGCCGCCGCGCCCCACTTCTAATCCACGCTCGGCAATGCTTGCAATGCTTGCAGCCCACGCTGCGGCAGGCGCTGCTGCTCGTCCGCGCGCTGCCGAGCTTCCTGTCCATGCTGACCTCCGGCAACCGCCAGAGCGAGGACTGCCTGTTCCTCAACGTGTACACGCGCCAGGTGCAGCCCGCGTCGCCGCGGCCCGTCATGGTGTGGATTCACGGCGGCGGATTCCACCTGGGTAACGGCGGCCCCGGCCTCTACGGCCCGGACTACCTCATGGACACGGAGGACGGCGACGACGTGGTGCTCGTCACCATGAACTACCGCCTCGGCCCGCTCGGCTTCCTCAGCGTCCCGGACGGCGGCGCCCCGGGCAACGCCGGCCTCAAGGACCAGAACGCGGCGCTGCGATGGGTGCGCGACAACATCGCGGCGTTCGGCGGCAACCCCAACCGCGTCACCATCTTCGGCGAGAGCGCGGGAGGCACCAGCGTGCAGATGCACCTCCTGTCTCCCATGTCCAGAGGTACGCCCCGCCCCGGTCGCGGTCACCCCGGCACGACCAGGCCGCACGATCAGCTGTTCCCGTCACAGGGCCAGACGGGGGCGTCGCCACTCTGCGCCGTCCCCGGCGCGCCACCCCGCCCCGCCCACCCCGCCCTGCCCTCAGTCTGGCTGCCGTTTATTAATATTCATTGAGAGGTCGCGGAAGGGGGGCTAAAAGCGATGTCCCACGAAATTGATTGTGTCGGATGGTGATGAGGCCGAGGCCATGTAGTGGATTAACGCATGGGGTAACGGCCACTCTAGCGCCTGACGGCGGCCGGGTAGGCATCGCGCAGCACACCGCAGTCCCCACTCCGCAGGGTTGCCTACCTTTTATTGCCATTACCATTACGGGCTAGACCACAATTGATCGTATTCCTCACATCGTTGGCGCTGTCGCGCTGCGCAGGACTGTTCCACGGCGCCATCTCGCAAAGCGGGTCCGCGTTCAACCCGCGGTCCAGCACCACCGAGGGCCGGGAGAACGCCTACCGCCTGGCCCGGCTGGTGGGCATCGACTCTGTCGACGACGCGGAGCTGGTGAAGCGCCTGCAGCAGGTACTTTGGCATGAGGGATGTGCTAGCCGCTGCCAGCGGTGTGCTGGCAATCCAGCTCCTGACTAACACCGCGCCCACACCGCTCACGCACTGCCGCAGGTGCCAGCCCACGTCCTGGCCGCCAAGTCGGAGTCCGTGCTGACGGCCGAGGAGCGCTCGCGCGGCCTCGCCGTCCACCCGTTCGTGCCGTCCCCGGAAGCCACCACCTCGGCCGCCTTCCTGCCCGGCATGCCCCACGAGCTGCTGGCGCGCGGCGACATCGCCAAGGTGCCCTACATCGTGGGCATCAACAGCCTGGAGGCCGGCTTCATGCTGAGTGAGTGGCATGCCATGCATGGCGTGCAAAAGGAAACCCCCCAAACCCGACGCCATTTTCACGCCTGCTTTGACACTGTAAATTGACTCGCCAACGGCGCTTTGCAGACAGGCCTCGAGACTTCTCCGTGCTGCAGCTGGACAAGGAGACCGAGAACCTGGTACCCTCTGACCTGGGCCTGCAGTTCGGCTCGCCCGAGCACCAGGAGGTTGCCGCCAGGATGCGGCGCGAGTACTTCGGCGACAACGTGATGCCGTCCGACGAGCAGCTCGCCCAGGTGAGGCTCGGGGACCATGGCGGCGACGGTGCACCATGCGCCAACAGCTTCCCGCACGCGCTTGTTTGGCTTGTTGCAGTTCTACTCCGACCTGTTCGTGAGCTGGGTCGTGCACCGGACCGTCAACGTCTTCTCGCGGGCGGACAGCCCCGCCCTCTACGTGTACCACTTCAGCCACGACGGCGGGCTGTCCTTCTCGCAGCGCCTGCTCGACAAGAAGCTCCCCGGCGTGATCCACGGCGACGAGCTGGGCTACCTCTTCACGCAGGACCTGCTGCCGAGCGGCCGCGAGTCGGAGCTGGACACGCTGGTGCGCCGCAGGATGGTCAAGCTCTGGACCAACTTCGCCAAGACTGGGTCAGTACCGCGTCCTCGCCTCGAGCGGCACTTCCAAGGTAGTAGGCGATTAATCGTACTCACATTCTACTGCTCGACAGAACCCCGAACGGAGGCCACAGTGCGCTTCTCAACACGGAGTGGCTGCCGGCTAACAACCAGAGCGGACTGTACCTGGACATAGGGGCGGACCTGGCGATGAAGCAGGGCAGTCTGTCTCCCCATATGGGCTTTTGGGACAGCCTGTACACGACGAGACAAGGAGGGCGAAGGCCGGAGGCAGGCGTCTAGAGGGGCACCGGCTAGTTTCGAATAGAGTCGAATCGAATCCCATTTAGTTCAAAACTTCTCGCAATCCCTGAAGCTTCAGAGGCGTCGCTAGAAGAGAAATGTGATACGTTTTAATGTGTTTTCTGTTGTTTAGTTGTAAATTTCGTTTTTAAGCAAAGAAAGTAAAGATAATATATATTAGAGAGGAGGTGAAACCAATCTTTTTCCTCCGCGCCTCCTGCATCGCGGCCGGAATGCGACCCGTCATCATGCCAAACGCCCGCGGGTGAAGGGATTCACATTTCCCGCCAAGTCCCGACCGGCTGTGCCTGGAAAGTCCTAGAAAGTGCCAGTGCGGCGCAGTGCGGTCGGACGGGGGACGTCGGGGCTGGCGTCTGCTGGCCCGCCGGGCGACACCCTCTCCCGTCTCAGCTGTTTATTAATATTCATTGGGAGATTCCTTTCTCGGCAGGAGTACAAATTTGTTTGTGGGCTGGGTGGTGATGAGGAATGATGAGGCTATGCGGAGAAAGGGCCCTTCCACGAATATGGGGTGGTGTGGCGGAGGGGGTGCCTGGCGGTAAGGTACAGGCCGTCCCCAACAATAACACTCCTTGTTACGAAGGGGAGGGGGGACTGACCCTTTCTACCGCTACTCGTAAAAAGGCGCCTGACGAGTAGGCAATTTAATGTATTTTCCGCCGGGCCCGTACGCAAGAAAGTCAGGCTACGACGCTGCTTCTGCTCTCATGTTCTAGTTTCGCGGGGTAGGGAGGTAACGCCCCATGAAACACAATATCGACGGTTCACAATCTGTGTATTTCGTTTTGTTCGATTGGACAGTAGTTATTTCTTTCATATGATCAAGAGCGCAATGTGTCAATTATCCCGTTTCCAATTTTAAAACAATGTGATGAATCGGCATTAAGTAAAGAGCAGCCATTTAGGAACCGTCGTCACTGTTTCGCAGTGTTTGCCAAAATAATACAAAATAAGAAGAAAAGACACTCCACAGGAATGTATAAGTATTTTTTTACAGTAAATACGACTACAAAGGCGAAGTAAACGCCAGGTGTTGTCCCGTCGATAGAGCGTCCGCCGAGCGAAAGGCGTCCTTGCCTCAGAAGCTGCGGCGCGTCTTGTCGCAGCAGTAGTTGACCACCTCCGCCATGCTGCACTGCTTGTGGCAGCACTCGTCCGCCACGCCGCGCGTGAAGCGCCGGAACGTGTCGCCGATCATGTCGGCGGCGCGGAGGCGGTCCCGGAACGGCGGCTGGTGCTCGGACTCCTCCACGTCCTCCAGGTCCTCGCCGCCGTCCTGCCGGCCGTCCTGCCGACCGTCCGGCCGGCCCACCGCCGTCTTGGGCAGGCTGGCCCACGCCCAGTAGCTGTCTGCGGGGGCACACCACGAAGGAGGGCTTATTCACAGTGGGGGCTCATTGTGGTGTCACGTTGACGTCGACCAGACCCGAAATTCAGTCCAAATCGACGCCATCGTGACGATTGACTTTCTCCCCCTCCCCTCGTACGGACGGACAACCAGGTACGCACCGTCGATGGCGGAGTGGATGTACTTCTTGTCGCGCGTGTTGTAGCAGCCGTTGCAGACGAGGCTGAGCATCTGGGGCAGGGCCTTGCCGCAGAACTGCTGCCGCTCCGCGTACGACAAGCAGGCGAGCATGGCCACCAGCAGTAGCCCCAGCCGCACCGATGTCACTCCCTCGACGCACCACATCTGCGGAGTGGAAACGGTTCAGCTGGGATTGTGAGGAGAGGTCACAGGTGGCGTTCCATCTGTGAGACATTGTGCACCAGCATCTCTCAGAAAAACGTCGGTCCGGTCAGAAATAATTCGTGATTCGTCGCAACCGGAAGAAAATATTTTTATACTTTGACCAGAAATCGAAGAGCCCTGGGTTCTCGCGGTCGAGGGCTACCTGCAATGCTAGCTAAGTCGGCAGATGCCATAAACCGCGAGAACTCCGGGCTCTTCGTTTTCTGGTCAGATTATAATTGACACCGATTTGACATCGTTTCTACCGGGGTAGACGAGTTAGTTCTGAGCGGGTAAGCGTTTACGAAACTTCGCCGTTCAGCTCAACCGATCTAACCGGTTAGGTTGATCACACGTTATTATGTGTGCTTCTCACAGCCGGTGAACTAGTCGCCAGTCGAGTCGGCAAAGTTTCGGCGAGGAAGAAACAACAGCGAATGCGAGCACGCGGGGATGCAGACGAGCGCAGACCGGGCGCTTGGCAGGCTGCCTACCCTGAGGCGTCAGCCAGCGCTGCGACCTGGGCCCGGCCAGGGCTTCGGAGAGCGACTGCCTGGCGACTGCACGGCGACTGCACGGCCAGGAGCGGGGAGAGGCCGACGCTGTCGGCACCCCTCGCACCAAGCCCCGCTGGACTTACCTCGAGGGAACCGACGGTAGTGAGTCCGTGGCGGAGGCCGGGGGCAGGAGCTGAGGGAGCAGGCGGCTCGGGTGGAGACCAGCCCCAGAGTGGTCCGCGCGGCCCGGAGGGTCGCTTTATACCCGCACCGCGCCAGCACCCCGACAGGGTGGCCTGGGGTGAGGGTAGTAGGGGCGGGGGTAGCGGCGGCGTCTGACGCGCGCCGGGGAAGAAAACAAGTGCCACGGCGCGGCATCGCGACCAGGAAGGCAAGGGCCGTGCTGACGCAGCAGCAGCACGTGCAATACCGCCGGAGGGTAATCGAATCAGAGATTCGGTGTCAGCCGGGGTACGGTTGCTCCGAGTTACATCCACCGCATCCATGGAGGGCCTCGGATTGGCTGTCGTGACGCAAGTCAAACGAGAACCCTCAAGTCGCGCCCGCATTTCTATTTTCCCCCGGCAACTCATCCCCAACGCTACTTGTTTTTCGCGCCTCCGGCCTGAGTGCCGAACGTCGCGGTGTCAAACGCGCGGCAGCAGAACGGGACTTCCTTCTGCGGCCCACCTAGAACGCCCGCAAAGTCGAGCATAGGCAACCCACTCGGCACGCTGCAGCTGCGACCATTACCATTAAGGGCTAGACCACATATGATCGTATGCCACGGCCGCCCTACCCGGCCCAGCCGTGCCAACGTGACGCACCTCACACTCCACTGCTCGGCTGAGGCCCAACCAAGGTGACTGGAAAACAGTGAGGACGCTCTGTGGGCGTGCCTGGGCGTGCCTGGGCGTGCCTGGCCCAGCCTGGCCCCGTGCGGCGTGCTGGCGCCGCAGGCCCTCGGCCTCGGCCCTTCTCGATGCGCAGTCACCTTGCTGCTAAATTTGTTGTGCCATCCCAGAATAAAAGCTGGTTATGATTTTGAAGAAAACGAGTTTAAGAAAACAAAAAAAAAGACACATTTTTTATGCTTATGATTAAGGTATTTGTATTTCAAATCAGGCAAGAGAACTAAACTGAAGGCACTCAAGTCACACTTCGCAAACAAAGACAAAATTTAGCACTCAAAATGAATATGTAACTTTCACATAAAAAGAAACTTGCAAAACTAACAGTGCTAGAGCTTTTTATCACTGCATTGTAATTGCTTATCCTCTGTGCGGATAAGTTCCTAAATTAAATTCACAACAGATGTAATTGTGTTTCTTCTCAACAGTTTTGAATCATTTTTTCCCTCAGGACCTTGCATAAAAATTAAATACAAGCAAAACCCTTACATTTCAAGGATAATGTGGCAATCTCTTAAAACAAAATATATACTTTCAAGATTACACGACAATCACTAAAAATGAAAACGGAACGTTAAAAACAAAAGTGAATGTAGGAGAATGTAAAATCGTCTCAGGCATTTATTTGTGGTAGGCTTTGTGGTACTGAAGAGACTCCTCCTGGGAGTATCCCTTCCCACAAACGTCGCAGGTGAAGCGCTTGGTGCTGCGCCCCAGGCGAGGCCCCACGCTCTTGCTTCTTCGCTTCGGCGTCAGAAACAGATTCCGAGGCTTGGCGTCGTCCTTCGTCAGCAGCTCCAGCAGGGCGTGTAGAGGGAGCGGCTTGTTGGGCACGGAGAGGCGCCTCGGCACCCTGGTCTTGGCCACGGCGCCGCCACGGCCGCCACGGCCCCTGGGCGCGCTGCTCCTGGCCTGGGCGGGGGCCACAGTGCAGGCCACGCCCGTCGAACTCCTGGTCTTCCTCGGCTGCTTCGCGTCTGGCTCGAACGGCGGCAGCGTGGACTCTCCGTCCTGCTTCGAGGGGATGTTGTCCGTCGTCTCGTCCCACGTAGCTGCCGTCTTCAGAGGGGACAGTACGGCAGCCTTTGGTGGGCCGACAGTGTCGGCCTGCTTCGCTAGCTTCGCTATTCCGCCACGGCGGGGCGCTTGCAGGGTGGTGGCGGGCTCGCCGACGATCCCGCTCATGGCGAAGGCATCGGAGAGGGGCGGCGAAGTATCCGAGGAGCTGGACGGCGGCCTAACTGAGCGGCCCGGTCCCTGACCACGCCCTCGGCCCCGTCCGCGGCCCCCGCGGCCCCGTCCTCGGCCACGCGGACGTCCAAGGCGTGGACCTGGAATGCTTCTTGGTCGCTCACCGTTGAACACCGAAGGACTAAAGTCGGGATCCTGGTGCTGCGGTGAAGGGCTTGACGGCGAAGGGCTTGACGGCGAAGGGCTTGGCGGCGAAGGGCTTGACGGCGAAGGGCTTGGCGGCGAGGGGCTTGGCGGCGAAGGGCTTGACGGCGAAGGGCTTGACGGCGAAGGGCTTGACGGCGAAGGGCTTGGCAGCGAAGGGCTTGACGGAGAAGGGCTCGGCGGCCTACGACTAACCAGCCCTGCGAAGTCCAGAAGCGGGGGCGAAGGATTTCGCGGCTCTAAGAAGTCCTGGAGCGGAGGCGGAAGACTTGTAGGACCAGCGAAGTTCAAAAGCGGAGGGGAAGGACTTGGATCAGCCAGGGGCAAGGCCTGCTGGACGACATCGACGGCCATCTCGCTGGTGGCCGAGACACCAGTGGAGGGCGGGGGCCTTGGCGGGGGCAGCGGGCCGCGGCGCTTGACCATGCTCTCCGAGAGGGCATTGTCCGCCTGCCTCTTCCGCGGCGTCAAGGACGGCAGTGGCGACGTGTCCTGGGTTTGAACGGTGTTGGCCTCCAGCATCCTTTCGCCACGGTCCACCAGTCCATGGCTTCGGCCCCGACCGAGAGCTCGGCCGCGGCCACGGCCTCGGCCTCTGCCACGACCCCGAGTGCCTCTCTGATGTTGGTCGTCACTGTGCACCAAAGGGCCAGCTGGTTGGGAGAGGTCCTGTAACAGTGCTGAAAAACTGGCCTGCTGTTTGGGGTCAAGAGGCTTTACCGATGGTCTATTCTCGTAGATGCTCTGCAGTTGCGCCGTTGGACTTGTCTCGAGGTCGTTCTGAGGCTGCGCCGACGGACCATCCTCGGCGATGTCCTCGCTGCTCCCCGATGGACGTTTCTGCCGGGACCGGGATCTGCTCCCCACGCGGGCATGACCTGGGCCGCGTCCCCGCGAGCTTCCTTGCTGTTGGCTGCTGTCGCGCGCCGAAGACTTAGTCAGTGTGACCGGGTCCGGAAGGGGCGCTGGCGTGCTGGTCTGTTGGGGTGGGTCCGGAAGGGGCGCTGGAGTGACAGTCTGCTGGACGAGGTCCGGGAGGGGAGCTGGAGTAGCAGTATGGACGAGATCCTGAGGCTTCGCCGGTGGACTGGCCAGGACGGTACCCCGAGGCTGAACCGACGAACCGCCCTCGATGGTGTCCTCACTGCTCGGAGACCGGAGCGGCTGCATAGACTTGGACCGACTGCCCCGGCGGCCGGTGTTTCCTCGGCGCTTTTGGAATTTTCCAAGTTGACCATGCTGCTGATCCTCGCTTGGGCCTGAACCTGCGATGTTAGAGGCGAGACCATTTTCAGATGGTCTTACTGCATCATCACCGCTTGGAAGAAGACTCTCCTGTGGGCCAATCGGTGGGCTGAGGGGAGGTGGGGCTCCGTCCCGACGGCTGCTTCGCGAACTGCGCCGCCCAGCGCGGGCAGGCACCGTGCCGCGTTCTGGGACCTCCTCCTTGAGGGGCCCACGATCCGGAGGACTTCCTCTGCGGCAGCGACTAGCAGGTGCGCCTCGTTGAGGGCGTCCCGGGCGTCCCTGGCCTCGGCGCGGTGGTGGCAAGCCCTGCGAGCCCTGCGGAAAGAGACGGACAATGTTGCACTGTAATGCGAGCCACGCGAACGTAAGCAATGTTTCATCATAAGGGGGGGGGGGGACGACGGCACGGCCGCGAACCTGACACGGCGCGAGGCGCGAGCACAGCAAGGCAGGGCCCAATACACCCCCGTCCCCCCTCCCTCACCTCCCAGAGTTATGCCATGGGAAAGGGCCCTTTCTCGCGGTTCTGCCCAGCAACAAACTACCCGTATTTGTCGGCATACAAGACGACACGGCCTATAAGACGAGTGCGGAAGGTCCAAAATAAGGTAAAAAAAGGTCGTTTTATACGCCGATAAATACGTAAGACTTCAAATAAAAATGCTCTCACTTGAACGGCGGCATGGGTATCGCCATCACGTGCGATGTCGTCCTGCTTGACGGCGTCCTGCTTGACGGCGTCCTGCTTGACGGCATTCTGCTTGACGGCGTCCTGCTTGACGGCATCCTGCTTGACGGCGTCCTGCTTGACGGCGTCCTGCTTGACGGCGTCCCGCTTGACGCTGCCGGGCTTGATGCTGCCGTGCTTGACGGCGTCCTCCTTGGCGCCGACGTGCTTGGCACCGACGTGCTTGAGGCCCTCCTGCTTGGCGCTGCCGTGCTTGACGGCGTCGTCCTGCTTGACGCCCTCCTGCTTGACGGCGTCGTCCTGCTTGACGCCCTCCTGCTTGACGGCGTCCTCCTGCTTGGCGCCCTCCTGCTTGACGGCGTCGTCCTGCTTGACGCCCTCCTGCTTGACGGCGTCGTCCTGCTCGGCGCCGTCGTCCCCGAGGCCCTCCCGGTCGTGCCCGGCGATGTGCGCCGTGAGCTCGTGGTGGCGGCCGAAGCGCTGCCCGCACGCCATGCAGCGGAAGGGCTGCGGGTGGAGGTGCACGGCCCTCATGTGCATGACGGACTCGCGGGCCGTGGCGAACGTCAACGGGCACACCAGGCAGGTGTGTCTCCCCGAGGCCGCCGAGGACGTCCACATGACGCCTCGAGCCACTGCGTCGCCCATCTGAAACGAGAAAGCAAACTTTTATACTCAGCCCACCGGCAGTGTAAACATTAGCCGTGGCCGTCGCACTGGCGCCCGCAAGCCGCCCTAACTCGGCCGACAGCGTGACAACGCACTTCCAGGTACGGAGGCAAATTGAAATGCGTTTCACCGCGAGACGGCGAGGCTACATTGGTGACAAACTCGCCGGCCTAGGACACGATTCTGCGACACGGATTGGTTCGCGCTAACCTTTCCGAAGCGCAACGTGCCGGCTTTGCACGACGCTTCACTTTCCGTTGAAACAGACAGACAACAGAGCACCCCTGCATATGATTTCGGACGACGCAAGCAGATAAATTCAGTGGAATACTCGCTGCTGGAATCATTTGCCGAGCAGAAAGGCATTTAAAGTTTAGTTCTAACCTCTCTAACAGCGTGGCTCCTTCGTTGCGATGACTGTCCTCGTGCGCGTGTGAGTGTGCGCGTGCTCGCGACACAAACAAAAACAAAACAGTGTTTCCTTTCGGCGCAGGGTGGCGGAGGGAGGGAGGAGGGGGCTGACGCTGCTCGCTGACAAGACGAGACTCGCGCGCCAGCCAGCAGCCAGCAGCAGCGGCAACGAACATAATCCCTTGACGGTCGGCGTCGGCGGCGTGGAGCTAATATACGGAGGAATTCGTGACTCTTCAAGGAAATAAATATTGTGGTGAAGAAAGTGGCAAACACCGGTTGGAAGTGATCGACGGGTGCCTTCTTGTCGACTTGGACTACAACGTCGCGGCGGTGTGGGTGTTCCCAGAGGCAAGTTTGCCCAGGTAGTTCCGAGCATACTCATTGCGAAATCACCATCACGGCGAGCCTGTGTGGCAGCACAGAGAGTAAGCTTAGTTTTCTACGCGTTTCCCTGTTGTGTCAGGCAGCGCCTCAAGTTTTATTCGACTTGGCGCCGCACACGCGAGAGGTTATGTTGCTTGACTTGCTGCAACACAAACCGTGAAAGTGTTTGCAGTTTTTGAACCGTAGCGGAGCCACAACAATGTAGGTGTTATTTTTTTGAAAAAGTTAGGTTATTTTTCGAGTGTTGGTGTCTCCTAAGGGTGGTTGTCACTATCACGGTTTTTAAAAATTTTGTCTCATACTGGATGGGGAATAAATGATTTCTACAGTCTCTTGTCAGACGCAACATTTAAAAATTACACATTGTCAATTTGTACCAAGCTTGTAATAAATGAACCCTAATTTTTACAACCCTTTGATATGTGAATTTCCTGTTCGCAGTTAGAACACCATCCGAAACCCATTTCATCATTAACTCCAAGATTGGCACTTGTTGATGCGACACTGTGAAGTGTGCGTACACTGACACTTATTGATCCTACAATCAAGGAACGTGCATCTTTTTCATTTCTAACGTAACCTTTCTATGCTGTTGCAGTACTTTGCCACCTTCGTCACCAACGCGTTACGGACGTTACGATCGTTATGATCCTGTATCCTTTTGCATGCGCGGTTTGGTGGAGGTCACTGGGATTTTGCTTGCTGGTTTGCTCTGACGGTCTGACGGCTGCTTGGGTTGTAAGCATGGCGTATTTCTAGTTCTGTCGGGTTGGACTCGCCCGCGGAGAATCGTGTTGCATTGGTCTTCGTTTTTGCTTTCAGGACTCGCGTCCGGGAGTGCAGTGTCTCAGCGGGAGTGCCCCGTCGTGTTCCTGGACGACGACGAGCCGGAGCCACGTCCGAGGCCTCTGCCGAGGTCCCCGCGGGTGTACCCTGGCCGCGCCGACGTGCCCTCGCCAGCGTACTCGCCGATCCTGGGCTCGAGCGGCGCCAGGCCCTGGCGGCGCGAGAACGAGGTGGTCCCGAGCCCCGCCTCCGCCTCCTCCGTGAGCAGCCCCAGCCCCGCGAAGAGCCGCTGCGCGGCCCGCGGGCCCCGCGTCGCCGAGGTGGAGCACGCGGAGCAGCCGCGGCCGGTCCGGGACTCCTCGCCCATCGAGCGCCCTGACAGTGAGGAGCTGAAGCGCGCGTGCACTCTGCGGCCAAGCATGTTCGTGTCTTTCTCTTTGTTCCTCGTGTTGTTGGTGCTAGAAACTCATTTTTCCACGTCCCTTTGCAGCTCGCCGCTCAGCATGACTGCCAGCCTTGCGTGCAGTGACCTCTCTATTTCCTCCGCCACCTTTGAGGATTTATTTGTGCTTCGGCAGAGCCTGGAGAGGCGGGCCAGCCTCGACAGCGTCATGTCACAAACTACCTTGCTGATGGACGAGGGTGCGAACGAGGACCAGGACCAGCCCGCCCAACCTCATGAGCCCTCGGTGCCTTCGATGCCTTTGGGGACGGCGACGGCGAGACCCGGCGAGGAAGGCGGTCGCGGTGTACGCGGGGATTCGTCCCCGAAGCAGGCAGCAGTCTCTGAGCCGTCGACCGACGATGTCGACGACGATGCCGACGACGAGGCCGACGACGAGGCCGACGACGTGGGTCACATGGACAGCAACCCCCTCGGCCCCCGTGAGAAACCACCGCCTCCCCCTCCGCCCGGCCAAGGTGAGCGTCGACCTACAGCTAAATCGTGTCATTCTTCTGGTCTTGTTGTGTCTTGCTTTTCTGATGTGTTTGTGTTTTTGACACGTCTGTTTCTTAGATTCTCCTCTCCCTCCATGCTGGGTGGTTTTAAAAAAGATTAGGATCAGGCAGTGAGGTAAAGTAATATAAGTCACAACTTTGCAGAGTGGAACGTAAATGGTCATCAAGTAAAACGCCTTTATCTACAATAACTCCTGTCCACTTTTTGCAGGTGTGGAAGAACTTATGGCGACATGGCGACAAGAAACGTTAAACCCCTTTCTACATTTTTTTATTTTTATTTGACTTGCACTGGTTGATGCTTTGATTCATCTTTTTTTAAAAATAAATCGTTTTACTGAAGTTTGGGCGGAATCCATGTTTCCTGGTTTCCTCATGCCCGCATGTCGTCTCATTATTATTAAAGAAGAAGATTGGTCATCCCCTTTGTTCCCCACACCAACACAAAACACATGCCCCCTCCTGCAATCCCATTCTATCCAACCTGTTGTGTTTTTGCTTTGAAACTAATCAATTTGTGCTTCTCTGCTTACAGCAGTGTTTTGTGAGATATCGTCAGAACAGCGCATTCTGGATCCATCGTGAGGACTTGACGCCCTGTATCCTTTTTCATGCACTGCCAACGCAATGAACTATGAACTTGATTCAATTGTTTGCGTGTCTATTGTCCTTAATACTTATTTGCCTTTCACATCACTGTGGGTGCCTTGGCCCCATTCGCATGACTGTAGCTTTTTTGCTGGGTTGGACTCACCTATGTAGGATGGTGCGCATTGATCATTGATCTTGTTTTGTTCCAGAGATCGTGTCCTGGAGAGCGGGTTCGCGGAGGACAGTGGCCCAGTTCAGCCTCATGGATGTCTTCCTGGCTTCCCCAGGGCTCCCCCAAGCCAAGTACCCGGTGACCGTCATCGACGAGGACCAGGACCAGGACGAAGCCTCGCCGCCGTCATCCCCGATCCTGGTGTCCACCAAGGGCCGAGGGTTCAAGAGGGGACGCCGCGTCGTGAACACCGCCCGACAGGGCCCCGCCGGCCCCGCGAGGGAGGATGCCCCCAGCTCCAGCTCCAGCGCCGTGGCCCCCGTCGAGGCTGTAGGCCAGGCGAGCCCAGCATGGTCGCAGCTCGCCCGCGTGGGCAGCGCCCTGAGCGACGAGGCCCCCGACGAGCCGGGGTGCCTGAGCGATAGGAACAGCAGGTTCATATGGGGTTTATACGTTTATTTGGGAAATCAATTGATTTGCACACATGTTTTGACCCACGCTTTTGTTGCCATTTCAGCATGATCGCCAGCCTCCCCTGCTGCGGCGCAAACGACCTGCCTATCGCCCCCAGCGCGCGGGCGGACTTGATGGAGCTGCCGCAGGGCCTGGACAGACAGAGGTCCGACAGTGTCATGTCTGACGAGACCGTGTTGGTGGACGGGCGGGAGCCCGCGAAGAGTGTGGCACCCGGGGCAGCAGCGGCAGCCAGGCCAAGGCCGTCCCCGCTCAAGGCGATGGCCCGGACGACCCCCGGTGGACATAGCGAGCGCCCGAGTCGCAGCCCGTCGGCGCGCTCAGAGGTAGTCGATCTAGAGGACCAGGACCCGGACCAGGACCCGGACCAGGACCCGGCCCACGAGGCTGCCAACTGCACCAGTGAGTTCTCTCTCCGCCCGAGGCCTTTCCGCCTCCTGAAAAGTGCGCTTTCGTACGTACTGTACCTGTGCGCTCTCCTCTTCAGGTGTGCCTGGTGTGCCGCTCTCTGCATCAGCAGTGGTACCGCCCCCTGCCGTGGCCTCTGCTTCACCTGCTGGAACACGTGCCGTTGAGGGCCGTGTCTGCGGGCCGTCCTCTCCAGGCACTCTCGACTGTACCCGCGGACCATCTCGCCCCTCTGAAGCTCCTGTGTCATCTCGAGGTCATTATTCACATTTTAATTCCTTTAAATCTTACCACCTTTGTAAAACTTGCTGTGGAAAGTATGTTGCACATTGTTTTCCTTCTCGATTGTTGCAAAGTAGCTGAGCAAAAGAAAGTTGTTGAGACATAAACTTTACACATCAACAAATGTTGTCACTCTAAGTTAATGTTTCTTGTTTTTCTTCTTTCAGTGACTTCCCTTCCCCCCTGCTGGGTACTGTTGGAGAGGATTAATCCAATTGGAAATTGATGTGCTCTTTGTGTGCTATGACTTGATTACTTTCTACTGCATTGCAAAAGTTTAATTTTTGAAAAATTGTTTTTATTTGATGTGTGTATGGCACTATAAATTCTTTCATGGAAAAATTACAAGCTTGAATAAAAGAAAATGTTCTTCAACTGTCCCTACTGTAAGAGATAGACTTTGGAACTAGGAGCCGAATATTCAACTTGTATCAAAGCAAGTGATGTATGCTGGGCGATTAAATTTCAAATATACTTACACACGTATGAAATGTAACTCATGCATCATAGCAAATGTGAACTATCAATTTTAGTACATATAAGATAAAATGTTGTAGATTTCAACATTACAATTATAACAGAAATAACTGCTAATAAACTGTGTAACACTTCAATTTGATCAAATATTGGCATCAAAGACACTAAGCGTATATTAAAATATTTCTAAAGAGAAAAGAGAAATTACATAGGTCCCAGTTATTTAAATTCATTGATCACAGCAATAGCAGTGGAGTCCTTCTTATCTTGAGCATCAATTCAATACTAAGACAAGAGAATTGCTGATACCGACATACTCCAAAAGAAGCATGCATACTATACATTGTGAACATACTAAATTGTAAGCAATACAGCTTGATTAACAAAGAATGGCAGTTTGTCATGAAAATTAAGTTTCAGGTTGTGGACCCAAATTCACAAAATTAAAGCCAAGGTACATAGGTACTGAAATTTTCAAAAATTAAGAAAGGAATAAATCACATGCAGGTTATTTTCTTATAAAAAAACATGGTATTTACAAACATCTAGAAAAATATCACTTTAAAATGCCACACGACCAGTGATTCACATAAATTAGGAATGGGATCTGTAAGGCGCAGTGCCTAGCAAGCCAGATTGCTTGCTTACAAAAGTAGAAAAGAGAGCTTTTCTGAGCCCAGCTGCTAGAACATAGTTACAAAGTAAATATTTAAGTAGCTTAGACAGTCTTCAGTCTTGAAAAGGTACAAGGTCAATAAAGGCATTGGATGAATATGACATTCCTTTTCTCCCAAAAGGAAAATAAGCTTATGTTTAAAAGGGTATTGCTAAGGACAAATACTAGTAAGCAAAATAATCAGGCATTGCAGTCAGTCAAACCATTCTTTCCCTATAAAAGTCAATCGCTGTCATCTCTGCAAATAAATAAATTAATAATGAATAAATATGGATAAGAAGAGTCAAAGAAACAATATCAAACAATATTGTATACTTCACCGCATACTTACACAGTTATTAGCTCTCTTTTGAACTTAACAATAGTTTCATTACGTTTTTGAGATTTGACCTCAACAGCAGCAGGATAGTACTGATCCTTATTGCTTAGTGTCCATCCTGAATACTGAAGAAAAGTGATATTGAAATTTGAATGATTTCGGTGACAGCAATTTAAGACTCAAATGAGCATCATCACAGGAAATTTAATGAGTTTACCGTTGAGGTGTTCTTATACATAATCTGTCCATCTTGATCAAAATGGACATATTTCTGAAGGAGAGCTTTGCCATCTATTTTCCATATAGCAGGGGTTGTAGTGGAGTGAAAATCAGATTTGATAACAACAAATGACCCAGACTGGAAAAAAGCATTCACAAATATTTGTAGAAGTAGAAACATGAGGCTTAAATCTATACTCTGTGTGTGTAGCGTACTTACTGAGAATTCATTCGGGAGCTTACTGACTGCAATGTCTTTCTTACTTTTCCTTTCCTTTGCTGGTATTTTTAAACGAGGTTTGGAATCAAAACTTTTAGCAGGAGTCAATGACTGATCTTTACTTTGCCGTAAGAGTAATGTATTTCTTCCTTTCTTTTTCCTTTTAATTTCCTTATCACTAAGGTCCTCTTCACTTTCAAGATTTTCCTCTTCATCACTTGTAGTAATAATTTCTGTCAGTTTTGGTTGCTTCCCTTGAAGTCTACTGGAACGCCTCCCAAGCTGATAGAATAAAAAGAAAACAAAGTCCAAGTTTTGATATTACGGTAAAATGTTTAGTTCACAATTAGATGCAATTTTGAAATTCATGCTTGCTTACAGGTGGCAGGCAATTTCTACTTTCTTGTAATGTCTTAGCATTCTTTTCTTCTTTGGAAGAAATAGTCTCACATTCAGCATTGCTATCAGTGCAAGATTCTTTACTATTTGGAGATGTTTCATTTGCTGAATGTTCTTCAGAAATAGGATTCTGTTCAGAGTCATTTGATTTATTACCGTTTGTCACTGTATTATGCTTGTTTGACTCTTCTCCACCAACTTTCTCATCATCCCCTGATGCTCCTCCACAGGCATCCTTCATTTTGTAGGTGAAGACAACTCTGCAAAACAAGGAACACACAATGAAGCTACGAAGACAGTTTACCTTCAGGTAAACGAACAAATATGAACTGATATTCCAAGCAAGGCCAAGATGCAGATAATGTCAACCACTACAAAACTTGATGATAAGAGTAAAGAATGAAGTTAACGAGTGAGGAAATTGCAACCACATTTTTTAACTCAAAACAATAGCACAGAATGGTAAGGGTTGTAGGTTGTAGCAACAAGTTTCTTTGATGGCTAGGAGTTAGCAGGCAAAGTTTCAAGAAGTTTTAAGAATAGGAATTTACAGTAGCGGTATCCGGTCTTGAGCTCACTACTATAAACCAAATGAACAAAAATTACCCGAAGACAAAACGAGTACCGGGCCAATCTTCACACATACAATAACAATAGCAAAAGCATAACATTACCGCTCACTGCTGCAAACCAAAATAAATGGATTCAAAGTGAAACTTGGTCTGAAACTGGAAGCTTGAAAGATGTCCAGCCCCCAACAAAATATAAAATGAAAAAAAGACTTTTGGTTTACAAAAATTAACGTGTTTAGGCGAACCTTTTTGTCAATCAAAAACGTTTTGTGGTTAGGGGCTTCAACTGTTGTGCGTGTGGCAGCTCTTTTAGGTTGGTGTAAAAACAACAAACGTATGAAAAATCTTCTTTCCATTTGCCATTTGCTCTCATTTTCTGTTTCTAGTAGAACCCTTTTAACCGATTCACATTTTAAGTGCAACAGTTGTGTTCGTGTATAATTTATGTTTTTAAGGGAAGTTCAAGATGTCAGTGAAATTTAACGGCGCAAGTTTGCTTGAATAATTGTGGCAATTATTACTGGGCTTTGTGTGACCAGACTGAAAAATGTTGCCTGGAATAGGTGTGTTTGGAACTGGAAATGTTGTGAGGGTGATGGTGCCATTCCTACGCGAGAAAGGGTTCAAGATAGAAGCCTTGTGGGGAAGAACATTAGCTGCCGCCCAGGAAGTTGCCTTAGAGCTTGAAATTCCCTTTTTTACGAACAAGATAGATGATGTGCTTCTGCGAAAAGATGTTGACCTTATTTTCATTATGTGCTCCCCAAATTTACACTCACAAATAGCTGTGAAGGCATTGGGCATTGGGAAACATGTCTTGTGTGATAAACCTGCTGGGCTCTGCCAGGGAGAGGCTTTGAAAATGGTGCGTGCATGTCAGTATTATCCTTCACTTATATCGATTGTTAACCATAGTTTGAGGTTTTTGCCTGCTTTTGTACACATGAGAAAATCCATTTGTGATGGCTTTCTGGGTAAAGACAGTGAAATTACTGTTTGTGACATTCGGGTTCAAATGGGAAGCCTTTTGCATTCGACCTACGATTGGCACTGTGATGACACCATGGGTGGAGGTATTCTGACGCTTGTTGGAAGTCATGTCATTGATTTAGTCACATATCTCACTGAACAAAAAGCTGTCCGAGTCCATGGTGTTGTCAGAACATTCACAAAGACCACTGCTAACATTAATGGAATCCGTCATATCTCCAGTCCAGATTTCTGCAGCTTTCAAATGGAGATGAGTGGTGGTACCTTGGTGACTGTCACTTTGAACAACCATTTACAAGGTTCATTCAGCCAAGAAGTCTTAGTTTGTGGTCAGCAAGGAAACTTAGTTGTCAGGGGAGGTGACTTGTATGGACAGAAGAACGGCTGCTCGAAAGAAGATGTGATTTATGTTGATGTTGAGGATCTTCAAAGGAGTGGAAACATAAATGCTACTGCTGCCAAGTCGATTCCTAGGCCCTACATAAAGGGACTTTTCAAAATGATTTGTGCCTTGAGGGAAGCCTTCCTCCCTGTTGAAGATAAACGAGGGTGGGTTAAGAATCCTGTAGCGCAGGCAGCAACATTTGAAGATGGATTGTATGTTCAAGCTGTCATTGATGCATTGCGGAAATCAAGTGCCAACAGAGAGTGGGTCAAGGTGAATATTATTACGGAAGAACCGGATCCAAATCCATTATTGAGTGCTGCTGTCAGGCGCAGTGCTATATCTATGTGAAGCTGTGCTTAGACTTTGCTCTCTACTCTCTATTGTAGCTTATTGCCTGTTCTGCTTTTTGTTCCGATTGATTTCGAAGAAATTATTAACACTGCACTTCTATTTTTGTACCAGTGATAGTTCCTGGTTTTATACTTTTCTAAGATCAATGCTCAGATCAAAATAATATTGTATTTTTGTTATTAGTATTACAGCATTTACTTTTCAAGGGAACTGAAGTGAGTTTGTAGTAGTAGCTCACTGGAACAAATCTCCTGTACTTAAAGTTACTAGTTCAGTCACTTATTGTTTTAATTATAATTGTTCACAGTATTTATTTTATTTATGAATATACCTCCCACTTAAAACTACCTTCAAAGAGAGAGCCAACTACTGTCTTTTGATGCCTCTCTTTTCCTTCTCTTCCTCATACTCTTCTTCTTACTGTCAAACCATTTTGATGTGTGTGTGTCAGTTGGATTCTTTTTGACCAGTCCAAAAAAAAACTTTGTGTTGTTCATAGTTTTAACTTTTACTCCTTTGAAACTGTTTGGAGCAATACAAGATCTCATTTTCTGGCTTGCATAAACTTTTTGAATTGACTTGACTTAAGTGTTTGCGATAGGAGCTTGCTTTGGTTGTAACAATGTTGTAACATATGTGATAACATGATCGTCATTCCTTATGTTTTATTAAACTTACATTGGGTTTAAATGTACCCACATATTTATTGTATGGGTAGAAGCACTGTTAAACAACAAGTTTTTTTATTTTGAACAAAATAGGTTCTCAAATTTGAAGCAAATTTTGAAAAGTAACAATCAAATTAGAGAAAAAGAAACGTTTGCTAGCATTACAAGTTTGTTTTGAAAGTCATGGGTAACACAAACCATCTATACTTTGCCTCTCTCATTTTTTATCCTTGATTTTCTCAGATTGTTGTGAGAGTTTTGTGAACGCCTAAACAAAAATTTGTTGTTCAATAGCTACTACTTTTTGAGAACTGCAAAAGTTTTTCTAAGATTACGTTGCATCAGATTTTATTTTACTCTTCTTTTTCCTTCTTTTATATCAAACTTTTTGTTGCATCATAAATTGTAACAGATCAAAGTAATATTTGTTATCTTCTTGGTTGTGATTTTTAATATATAAAAAAAATGTCTTTGTGATCTGTGATACCACTCTGCGCTTTTTTGTAATAAATTGTTATAGTGTCTCCAGTAGTTCTGCATTTGGAAAATTTAAAAAGACCCCTCCCCGCCTTCTCCCAATCAATTTTGAAATACCTGCAGCAAAGCTCCACTAATGCATAGTATGTTTCATGCTGGTCTTACATTTAGCTTGCATGATTTGCTTTCTGGAAAATTTGGGGGCCCCATCCTAAGTTCTGCTGGTTGTATGGTGGTGAGGCTATTGCATTAAAACCTGTATCATCTTCAAGCAATAGCACAATTAGAGTGAAAAGAAGAACAAACATTCTTGGACTCAATCTTAGTCTTTGTAATTATTGTTTGTTTCAGGTTGAATACATGACCTGGTGAAACTTCTTCATAGTAGATCTAAGAATAAAATTCAATATGATTCCAATTTAAAACTTATGAAAACATTTGCTTCTGGTGATTAAAGAAAAACTCGACGAGCTGTGTTTTCCTGTCTACCCACTTAATATTCCTCAAAGATTAAATGCATCGGCAAAGACCAACCGGGGGCAGCTCTTGGGGAGACAGGGACAGGCCTAGGCGACAGGACGGCTAGATGAACCACCCGTTGCACTGGATGGCTCGCGTGCCTCTTGACGGACACATGGCCACTACGATGGCCACGACGAGGCCGTTGCAGCTTGCGACTGCCGAGGCCCTTGCGTCGGATGGGACGACGTGGAGGGGGTGTTCCAGGTGGGACGGGAGGGGCGCTTGTAGCAGGGCGTGCGGTGGGGGAGGTGGGGTGTCGTGGGGTATATAAGGAGCCCCGCCGCCAGCTTGGGCCGGCTCGAACGTCTGTGCGGTCATTCCACATCCACATCATGAAGTCGGTGAGTATGCACTCAGCCCGAGCCGCGCAGCGCGCTATACTCGGTCGTCCAACGGCCCTCTCTCGTAGCTGTTGGGAAGTCCCTAGCATCAGCTCTAGGGGAGCTCTCCACTTCCGTAAATACGGTTTATTGTCTTTGAGAGCTGCGTTGCCGTTGTCGCATGCAAACCAATTGTCGTTTTCGTGGCAGTGACGACATCGCGGAGTGCGAGCTAAGCCGTACTTCGTGACGACGCCCATGGCGGTGGTCGCGACTCGCCTCCGGGGAGGGGGGGGGGGGAGGCCCCTTGTCCAGTGGCTTATTGGCGGAACGTTTCGCAAGCAGGACAGCAGCCTGGCACGTTGCACGTCTGGGTGTGTACGAACGCACCTGCCTGGCTAAGGAAAGTTCGGAAACACAGTAATTTCTGAACAGATTAAATTCAGAGAGGAGTATGCTGCCCGATTTGGGGTCAAGATTCCCGCTGCGAGCTGCTCCTGTTACCTAACAGCGCTCTATGGGGCCGGGCTGGTCCAAGGCCGGTGGGTAGGTGGTGCCCGGTGGTGCCCGTTCAGGTTCACTTCGCTTCAGCCCGTTGTGCCGCAGTGCCTCAGCCGGGCTGCTCCAGTTCATCGAACTTGCAATCCGAGCGGCTTCCTCCAGTCGCTAACTGCCCCAGGGCTGCAACATGCAGAGCGAACGCCGACGTTGGACTCGAATGGCGGGACTGCACCACTGCCAAATTTGATTGGCTGTGAGGATACCAGTGGAGCTTTGCTCCACTGGAGGGTCGATTCCTCTGACGGAGGTTAGCATCGCGGGGCTCGGCACCTCGGCGCTGCGCTCGGCCCCTCCTCACGGGTGACAAGAGGTGGATGACGTAAGACGCGGCCACTCGGTGCCGCGCCGAGCAGCACGGAGGTCCTCGCCCGCGGCTTGCCGGCGTGCCCCGCGGCGGGGGCGATGCACGGCGATGCACCTGGTGCGAATGCAAGCCATGCGCGGTACAGGCCGGGCCACAACCCACTCCCCGCTAAAAGTGACGCCTGTCCGCAGATGCTCGTGAGCGCCGCGGTGCTGGCCGTGCTGGCCGTCGTGGCGGCCCGCCCCCAGCAGCAGACGCCTCGGCCCGTCGCCATCTTGTCGCAGGACGCCGTGGTCAACGCCGACGGCTCCTTCCACTCCAGGTACGGGAAGCACACCCCTACAGGGCCCGCACTGCACCCCATGCGGCGTGGCGGCATGGCGGCCTGGCTAACTGACGGCTTGGTGTCTGCAGGTTCGAGACGGAGGACGGCGTCCGGCGCCAGGAGGTGGGGCAGCTGCGGCAGCTGGGAGGCAAGGACGTCGCCGAGGTGGTGCAGGGCCAGGTGCAGTACTCCGACCGCGAGGGCAACCAGTTCGACCTGAGGTTCACCGCCGACGAGAACGGCTACCACCCCGAGGGCTCCCACCTGCCCCAGTCGCCACCCATCCCCGCCGAGATCCAGCGCTCCATCGAGTACAACCTGTCGCACCCCGAGGAGGACGAGTCCCAGAAGTACACCTCGTGAGCAGCGCCAGCAGCGCGCCCGACGGCCGAGGACGGCCAGGGACGACCAGGGACGCGCGCGCGCCAAGGACACCTTGACACACTCAACGCGACGGAGAACCAAGAGTGACTCGGGCGACGCCTTGTCTACATCCTTGCCGACACCCTCGGCCCGGCCGCCTCGGTCGGCCCGGTTGCAAAAGGCAAAGCAAATCCCGGTTCTCAACGACCCTACTCCACGACGCACTCCATGACGTACGATCGACAGCGGCGCAGGCGAGGCGCAGGCGAGGCGCAGGCGGCCCGCGACAGCGCCGGGGACTGGCTGCTCGCGGCCCTGCGCCGCCCCGCGCGTCCGGGAGCACCACTTCACCATACCATCGAGCACCTTTCGCAAACCCCTTTCATCCGCCATCATCAGAAATACGGACCCCGCGGTCGGTGTTTTCCATACTTGTACAATATTTGTACGCGATCTGCACATCCTTCGAATATGTCCTCTTTGTGATGAAACATTAAACTTTAAGATCGTAGCGAGCATTGCTAATTCGAGTGCCCCGTCCTTCCATGGTCTGCCGGGTCTGCCACACCACGACACTGTATTATTCATTTCTCGTTAGCGCTGGCCGCGTGGGCAGACAGCCGAGTTTTGTGGACTCTCCGGAGTTTCCCGCCGACGGCGCACAGCACAGCACAGCACGGGGAGGGGAGGGGAGGGGAAGGCCCCTGCAGCGTAGGCAGCCGAGTCGCGCAGGGCAGCTTGGCGGGCCAGCATACGGCTCGTTGGTTGGGCGCTCTGCAGCGCGCTGCACCGCGAGCCGCAAGGAAGACACGCCGGTAGGCGCGGCGCAGTCAATCGCCTGGCGGACGGCGAAACCGTCGCAACACGCCGACTTCCTCAAGAACTTCCTCACCTTCCTTACATTGCCGCTGAGCGGCCCCACACGAACGAACACAGGCGTGCAGCGTTGGCATCAGCGGAGACAAATCAGGGCGGGGCCGCCGTGTGTCGCCTGTCTATTGATTATAGATTTGCCCCGTTTTGTCATAGTGTGCCGAAATTAATGGAGTGGTGACGTCAATGAAATCATATTGCCATACATTTTGGCTGGAAAAAGAAAACACTCTCCGCGCGCGCCCTCATTCACCTCCGATTCTTTAGTTTACAATTATTGAGCAATATTTTTATCGGTATAATTTGTTGGTATAAGGTGGAGGAGGTCTCATGATCTACTTCCTTAAAGTGTGTCAATGCGTTCGGATTTTTTTAAAACAACGTCTTTGGCAGATGAGAAATTGTCCTGTTTTTTCGTAGCAAGTTTTTTTTTCTTTTCCCTCCATATCAGTTTGTGTGACTGCACCGCCGAGTGAACTCATAAGAAGAAGATGGCCCGGTTTTGTTGCCGAAGGTGGACCAGCGCGCTCCGATCCCCCCCCCCCCCCCGGCCCCGCCCCTGTTTGTGGACTGGTCGCCTCTGGCCTTCGCCTTCGTCTCCTTAGCACTTTCCATCTCGCTGGCTGCGCTGGCGGCGCGGACCGGTTCTTCTTCTAAACTGGTAGCGCAGCGGCAGATGATACGCCCTGCCGCGTCATATGCGTCCCCACAATAATTAAACAAAAAATACTTTAAAAAAATAGGTAAAAAAAGTAGAGGCTCCAGATCGCACAAATAATAAATCTGGAGATGCTGACACCATCTTCTAAATTTAGCTTTGGCGCGTGTTTCGGTGTGTGGCGTCAAGGCCGGGCCGTTTGGACGCGGAGTGGTTCGATGCCCACCGCGGACTCGGCGTTGTGGGAGGAGTAAAAGGATGCCTCTGGCGGACTCGGGGTTTGTGCTTTTATTGCTCTGAGCGCGGCGGGAACCAGGGAACAGATCACAGATTGTTAACAAGGCCCTTCAAGAGGAACAAAGGACCGGGCCGCGTCGTGAAGAAGGGCAGGGTGCTATCGGACGGGTCAAGGACCACGCCTTCTCGCGTCTCCGCGTCCTCGGCACGGCCAGCTCGGAGAAGTCCTGCGAGTCCGCGAGGAGGTCGTAACGGGGGCTGTGCGGGCTGGGAGTTGTGTTGGGCTGGTCGTCGGGGTGGTTGTCGGGCGGCGCCTCACTGCCGCTGGCTGTCCCGGGGGTCCTCCTCCTCGGGGTGCGCCGCGTTCCACTCCAGGGCGCGCTGGATGGCTACGGGGATGGCGGGCACCAGGTCGCCGCTGGGGCGGTAGCCGTTCTCGTCGGCGGTGTAGGCCAGCTGGTGGGCGACGCCGTCGTTGTCCGTCCACGAGATCTGGCCCTGGATAGCCTCGCCCTGGTCGTTGGGGCCCAGCTGCTTCTGCACGCCCTGCTCGGAGCGGCTCTGGCCGTCACCGGTCTGGAAGCTGGAGTGGCAAAAGAACATGGACGCCCTTTTAATTCAGAATTCATAATTGTACTCCCGACGGAGTAACTTTCGGCGCGCTGCTGCTGCTCCCGCGCGCCTGCGCGGACGCCTGCTCTGCTCCAAGTTGGCGCCTCGCCGCCTTGCCGTCGTGCTTTCTTTGCACTGCCGTTCAACCGAACGGTACGGGACGATACAGCGCGGGGCTTTGCGTAACTTGACTGTGCAGCTCCCCTCTCTCCTCTCTCCCTGCCCCAGGCCATTCCGTCAGTCGCGAATTGGAATTGAATAGCAAGCAGAGAGAGACAGAGAGACAGAGGAGAGAGAGGGAGAGAGAGAGAGAGAGAGAGAGAGAGAGAGAGAGAGAGAGAGAGAGAGGGGGGGAGGGGGGTAAAACTGCTTGCAACACAATGCACGCTGTTGTGTATTGAACACACACGACGCACGCACACACACTTGGTGCTTGCCCACGCGGAAGACGAGATTTGCGCACATATTATGTCGCCGTACACTCCTAAAAGAATGAGTAGTCCTCTCTCTTCCATTCCGCCAGCGTGGTTCGTGTGTCATTTACCTGGAGGTGTGGGAGCCGTCGATGTTGAACTGGGAGTCCTGGGCCAGGATGGGCACGGGCGGCTTGTACTGGGGCTGCTGCTGGGGGCGGGCCAGGGCCACGGCCAGGAAGGCGCAGACGACGGCGATGACCTGCACAGGGAATCGGAATCTTGGGGTTCGCCCGGCCACTGTTTCGCTTTCGTTTACAGGCCAAACTGCTTCCTCGGATTGACCTCGCTGTGGCTTTCATCACTACTTCACCAGACGACTCACCAGCTTCATGGTTGCTTTCGTGTTGTGTGCTTCGTGTGTGTATACTGCCCGTTCCAGGCTGCCGGCATCTTATATAGGCGTCGTCGCCGGCCGGCCGAGCCGGGCGGCATGGGTTGGGACTTGCCGGGGCCAGGCGGGCCTGGCAGGGTGTGGAACACCGGTCGCGGGTCGCGCACCGGGAGAAGGTGGGAGAGGGGGGGGGGCATCTTCCAGCCAGACGCAGTTACTTCCGCACTGCCCTGCGAAGCTCGAAGCTCGAAAGCTCGAACTGCGCTTCGAAGCGCAGGGTGAACGGTGCAGCCATCACTCGCACTGGGGAGGGTGACAGTGGCACCCCCGCGGCACGCGAGGGCCCCGATGGTCCCCGATGGTCCCCTGGTCCCCGATGGTCCCCGATGGTCCTCGACGAGAGCCACTGGAACCGGGGACCGAGTCAGGCCGAGTGCCATTGTGCCGCCAGTGGCCAAAGCCAAAGCCCCCCGGCCATGCCCCGCGCCACTGGCCGCAGAGCGCCGAAGAGCAGTCCCGCGCGAGGCGCCGCGTTGCTGATTAAAATTAATTATCTGTCGGTCACATCCGAGTGTACGCACAAGTTGCGGCAGAACCGCACGGAACGTGACTTCATTTGGATTGTTGTCAATGGGGGCGCAAGCAGAGTAGAAAACCTAGCACGCCGAAATGTACATTACCGATGGAGTGGCACGGCAAAACCCCCACCACTGAAACGACTCATTAAAATATTCCGCACTTTGAAATGGAAATAGTGGGGAAAATTGGGTATGGGAAAGGTACGGAACTTCCAAACGGACCCTGCTGATAAATAAGTGACCAGGCATTTCCGTCTCTTTTCTGAACCATTTTCCACCAGTGTAGCGGGGGGGAGGGGGGGGCGTCACTCTCGACGCTTGCTGACCCCACACTCGTCTTGCAGCGCCGAATGACCCTAGCCGCTTGAAGACGGGCGGCGGCGAAAGTACCGACGCTAAAAAGAGCAGAAAGAAGCGTCGCGGCCGTCCCGGTGCGGCCGATTGTTTGCCGGCAGCGGCCTTGAGGCCTTGCCTGGCCTTGCCACTGGTTGTGCCCTTCCCGACCGCGAAGCGCGAAAGGCAAGGCCGGGCAAGGCGGAGGCGAGCCACTGCAGCCCAAGGCTGAAGGCGGCGGTCCGTGGATTGGGGATTCGGGGACCCAGGCTCCACGTTCCATTATTAACGGTCCAGTTTTGCGATTGGACGCGAGATGCCGCCGCGGGTGCCCCCCGCGTCCTTGGGGCCTCTGTGATAAATGGCTAATAAGGGTCTCGATAACAAAAGGCGGCAATCCTCCGGCCGCACTGCGCCGCGATGCCGCGATGGCCGCGATGCGCGTGCGGGGGCCGAGGGGCATTAGCGGGGGCTTTGCTTTCGCCGCGAGCGAGGGATGGGATCGCGGATGAGGGGATAATGAGTGGGGAGTGGGCGCGGCGACGTCCCATTTTGCGAAAATGGAGGGAAAATGCTGTTTTCCCGACGTTTCGCGTGGCCGGGTCCGAGAGGAGAACGCAGCGCGAACACACCACCACCGGCCCAGGAATTGATCCAGCGCTACCCCACGCGCCAAAGACGCTCCACTCCACTCTCCGCCGCGCGTGGGGTAGTGACAGCCCTGCTTTGGCCAAGGCTTCGCTTCGCCCGCGCTCTTCTTTGCCCCCTCGATGACCACGGCGCGGCCCTCGGCCGACGACCTGGACTTGCACGTGGCCGCGGGTCGCGGGATGAGCGTCCTGACGATACGGGCCCACTCCGTTTCGTCATGGAGCGGAGGATGCTTTTTAGTTTTTTTAGTTACTTCATTAATGCGTTCCCCCTGGCATGGCAGGCCCGGCGTTCCAGCACGGCCATAAACAAAGCGGAGGAACACCAAACTTTTGCCGCGCGAACAATACGGCCGGACAAGACCGCCTCGCCTCCGCGCGAAGCGCGAAGAGGAGCCCACCGGCCCAGCGGTCCAGTCCACCTGGCCGCCAGACCACGCCAGACCACGCCAGACCCGGGCCGGGGGTCGTAAGGTCAGCACGGCAGCGCGGCAGCGCGGCGCCGAGTGTTGGGCGGGCCGGGCCGCCTCGGCTGTCCGCGCAGCGAGCCAGACGGCCTCACCGCCGACAGTGGACTTATTATAACGACAGGCAAAGGCAAAAAGGAGGAAGCGCGGCCGGGCTGGGTTTGCGTCGTCTGCGTCGTCTGCGTCGTTTGCGTGGGACGGGACGGTCGAGGGACGAGCACTCTCACTGCCGGCCGAGGCCGAGGAACGACACGCTTTACTTGACCAAAAGCTTTATTGTTACATCTGTACAGAAAAATACATCGGAAGGACCGCTGTCACGCCAAACACAATATGGGCCGCTTTCCCCTAGAAGTAGTGAGGTGGCGCGCACACAGCGCTTCCGAGAACCATCCATCAATATCTGACGCGCGGGTCACTCGAACAGAGCAGCTGTAAGGTTGGGAGTCTTTTCGAAATGCGACATGGATTCAACAAAAGCATGGGTGCTGCCTTTAGTCAGCAGACAATAATTCTACAAGTATTGTACACAAGCATTGTACACAAGCATTTTGAGATTCCGTGAAGAGACCGGCAATAATAATTATTACTTTTGCGCTATCGGGAGAAGCAGTGCTAAAGGGACAATCACACTGACGGTTTGAAGCGGAGCTCGCTTTTGTCTGTAATGGCTACTGTATGTATCTCGTAAGAACTAACACAGGTATAGAGGATTTAAGATTATTTACAAAATCTCAATATGACATTGGCACGCTCGAATACTGCTTTTCGTTACGAAGTAAATGAGGCTTATGTACAGTAAGACAAATGTTTTCTTTTGCAGCATGCCGAATTTAATAAATAAAATGCATATTCATTTTAAACCCTACTTTAGTCAGGTTTTCTACAAGTGTAGTAATATGACAATGAATTCACGTCGTAACGGATTAAGAGAAAAGTCACATCTATTAAAATAACAAGATCCACAGAAAACTTTTTTCCTCAAGGAAATAGTAAATGATATGACAACCTAGTAAATAAAATAAATCTATAGCACGAAAACAGTTGATTGTGCCATTCACATTCTCCAACAACAAAGGATATGTTGCATCCAAATCGTTCCGAACAATGATAGTCCGTTTCCTGTCTCTGGAAGGTCCCAAAATAAGAATGACTTACATGACTACAGTTACACAGAATACTATCAACATCGACAGCAGAAAGTATGTCTGCTGATACATAATAGTTTGTCAACACGTGACTGATATCGCCATATTATTATAGCAAATTTCTAACAAAACAAGAATTTTTCTCATAAATTTCCACTAGAGGATAGAAACACCAAACAGGAAACGAGCGAGAGTACAACTTTTGTGTACCGTCGCGTAATAAGTTAATAAGTTACAGACTGTAGATGTGACACGTGCACAATCCCACACAATAGCATTCACAGCTGCGATTCACACGCACACATAAGACTCACACTCACTCAATCACACTCACACTCACTCACCCAATCACACGCACACGCACGCACCGCACACAGCACAATGTCGCCTTCCAAACTAAGGACTTGGTCCCAACAGTGACGGCGACTGTTGACGCGACTGCCTGCATGCCTGCCTGACAGCATCAAAGTCCTCGAGACTAAATGACACACACGACGCACGCCCCGCGAACATCTGCAAGGGAGGGAAGGCCCGCCGTCGTGGCCCTACACTAGAAGTAGGCCTATGTACAGAGGGAAGAGGAGAAGATCACACAAAAGGATTTGCGGCGCGGCGGCGGGCTGCAGTTGGATTCCGAACAGAGCGTGCCCAGCAAGCTTCGCCTCGCTCTGTCTCTCTCGGACCCATGCGGTGGCCCGGAGGGGTGCGAGAGGGACAGAGCGAAGAGGCCATGCTCTGAAGCAAGCGGCTGGGCGGGCCCACCACGCGCGTTGGGCGGCCTACCTGCCGGGCGGAGGCGCGAGTTTGCCTGTGGGCCTGTGGGCCTGTCGGCCTGTGGGCCTGTCGGCGGGCACGCCTCTGGACATGTTCGAACACTGAAAGTCCTCCAAAAAGTTTCGGATCAAACGCTACACGCTTGTCTCCTCTACATGACAGTTTCATAGACACCATCTGTGCTGAATTCAAGTGTGTCCGTTCGAAACGTGCCCACATGCGCAGTTCAGAACAGGTCTTCTGGCCAAAGCCAGCCCGAGCGCTTGAGCCCACCACCGCGGCCGCGGGCCCAGGAGAGCGAAGCCTAAGGCGAAGCCCCTCCTGGGCCCGGTGGGGAAACGCATGGTTACCCACGCTTTCCTTTTAAATAAATAGAAAGAAACAGCTAGAGGTACAAAAATATGTCTCGGTGGGAACAAAAACACCATTCAATAAACTTTGCATCTCGAAATGTACAGCATCCAAGGCGGTTCCTCGTTACCGGCATTTCTGCTTCGACGGGTCTCGCTTTGTCTTTACAGTCGTGCCATCTATCCTGCCGCACCCAAACCGCCTTCGATGCTCGCCTGTTGGCAAGCCTGTTGGCGAGCCTGTTGGCGCCTTACGCGGCCCGGCCGCGCCACTGCAGTGGACTGCAGTGGAACTGCAACGGAAGTGCAGGGTGGAGGGAAGGGGAGGGAGGGAGTGCCAGCCGGCGAGGAAAGCATTGTAGTTGGGCCGGAAGCCGGGCGAGGCGCTGGCTGTCGCCAAGTTTGGCTTGGCGCCACCGCGGACCGGCCCAGCTTCAGTAATAATTATCGTGGGCGCGCCATCTGGCGACAAGGGTCGAACTAGACAGTAATCATATTTACACAAGATTGATAGTACAATAAACTTCACAGAAACGCTCTAATACGAATAAATTGTTGACGTTGCTTTCGCATTGTACAACGGAAGGCCGCCGCACTTGTCAGTGGTGCGACGGTCTCGCCTACAGCAGCCGCTCCAGCTCCTCGCTGCACACCGTGTCCAGGCTGTCTTCCTCGTCCTCGTCGCAGGACGCGCGGCCCACGCTCAGCTCGTCGCCGGACCAGTGCTCGAACTCTTCCTTGTGGTGCTCCAGGGCCATCAAGGAGGGGAACAGGCTGTCACACGCGTTGCACCTGCGACAAGGGAAGTGAAACTGTTAACATCCGGGAGTACACTGTTGACACCCGCGCCGCGGCCGGCCGTCTCCGACAGGGCCGTCCCAACCCTTTCCCGGGGCCCAGACGGTCCCGAGGGACGACACGGCGACACGGCCCGGCCCGCCTCTGTCCGATATTGCCGATCAGCATTTTCTCGCCGAACCCCATCCTCTCCTCCGCAGGGTGCACGTCGCACCCGCCGGCGCAGCAGCAGCGCCCGCGAAAGGGCCTCGAGACCCTCGTGCAGCCCGGCCCACGCTCCGGTGCACGCACGAGGACCTGCCTGCTGCAAGCCGCGGCGCAGCAAGCGAAGCATGGCATGCAGCAAGCAGTTAGGCCCCTCCATCAAAGCACCCTCCGCGATGCGATGCCGCAGCGACCGCCACAACACGCGCATTCCCCCCGAATTCCCGCGAATTCCGGTGCATGCCTGTCCCACCGCCCCGCACCGCCCGCGGCCCTGGCGCCCCCGCCAGCCCCTCGGGACGGGGACGGGGGCAGCCCAGCTCGCTGCGTTGACAAAAGCGCGACGGTCGGCTCCTCGCATGAAGCGGATGGGAGGGTGACCTGCACTCGAGTCGACCCGGGCCGAGGTCGGGGTGACTGGGACCTTGGCCGCCCCCGCCCGCACGGCGCACGGCCCCACAAGATGGGTTGTCCAGGCCGTCCGGCAAGTTTTATGTGGGGCGATTCGCCCTAGCCTCCGCCCACAGCCCTCTGTCCTCCACCTGGCCGGGCCTGTCACCGATAGCGTGCGTGCCTCACCCCACCAAGGACACGCGGAAACGATCGTACTCGAGTATCGAAGATATCGAGAAATCCGGGCAAAGTAGCAAGCAATCCACCGAAAATGAAAACCGTCCCGGAAACCAAGGACGTTCGGCTGGCGAGCGCGCCGCTCGATCTTCTCCCCGTCGGCCCTGCCACAGTGTGGCCGCCTGGGCCCCTGCTCGCTGACATTTGCTGCGCCTCCCTTCAGCCTTTCGGCGCGCCCTTCACCCCGCCTGCATGCACATGAGCCCCGCCCGCCCCACCCACCCCGCCGCGCCGGAAGGCCGAGGCGCCGAGGCCCGTCCTCAGCATATCCAATCCATGGCTTGTCCGTGCTCCCTACTCCCTCTTGCCGCGCTCTGCGAGACGCCAAGAAGACACGTACAGTGGCCGCCCCCGTGTCTGATTCGGATCCCCCCCCCGCCTCGCCTGCCGTGTCACCCCGCATCCGGGTTGCGGGGTGTCCACCCCGAGTCCGCCCTGTGTTGCCAGTGTGCACTCGGCGTTCGCCCTCTGCCCTAGCCGCTGGCCTGTGGCCTGTGCCTGTGGCCTGTGGCCTCCCCGACTCGCGCTTTTTGCGGGCCGCCGCACCCACTCGCGGCCGTCGCCACACCGCCGCCAGTTTTATGTATGACAAAAAGGACCCCTCCCCCTCCCCCCGCCACCCACTCAGCGCGGTCGGGCCGCTCGGCGCGCAATTTCATCTCGCGGTTTTTGTTTTACATTGCCCAGGAAGGGCGCCCCGGGAGGGAAAAGAGGGGGGGGGGGGGCATGAGGGAGGGAGAGAGAGAGGGGCAGGGGGTCCTGGGAGGTCCTGGCCTGGCAGGCCTCTATAAAAGCCGGCGGAACTCCTAAAGACGAGATGAAGGAAGTCAGGGGTCTGGTCGGAGGGTCGGGGGGTCGGAGGGTCGGAGGGTCGGACACAGGGCGCGAGAGCACGGCAGCACGGCAGCACGGCCTTGAGGGCGACCTTGAGGCGGCCTTCCTCGGGGGCGTTGCAGGGCGGTGTGAACGTGCCGGCGGAGGCCCGGCGGAGGCCCGGCGGACTGCGGACTGTGGGTCCCGAGGGGCGTCGCGAAACAGGGCCGCGGAGAGATCCGGACTCGGAACTGGACGTGGCGAGCACGGTGGCGAGCTGAAGCGAAAACGGGCTCCAATCCCGGTGTTTGCCCCAATACCTTCTGTAAACATTAATTTCAACGCGCTTTTCACTCGACAGTCCGCCGGTAAAGTGTCGTCTGGTCAGGCAGACCGGTACCGGTACGGATGCAGAGGGAGGAGGCAAAGTGGTTTTTGCCCCCGCATAGTGTACCTAGATAGCCGCCTGTAAACAACTGGTCAAACAGCCATAGTGTAAAGTGGACAAAGGTGCCCCCCCTTTTACCCTTTAAAGGCCAGCTCTGGGTCCACCACTGCGTTTGTCAGTTTGTCGCGGGGGACGATGTTTAGCCCTGATTGTCGTGGAATGGAGCTTCATCTGATGCTGGCCGATGCCCGACGACCCCCAACCCAATCCAGTGCCTCGCGCTTGGCGCTTGGCGCTCGGGCCACAGACGCGGGCTAATCCCCGAAGCGAGCCAAAACTCCGATACGTGGCGGCACGGCGTGCCATGCAGTGCCATGGCGGATTGTGGTGATGGCGATGTATGCCCGACGGGCGACGTGCCGGCCGGGCGGTGGAGGATGGAGTGGGACGGACTAGTACATATTCCATGCCACGGCCTCGGCCACGTCGGACAGGGCCCGAGCCGGCTGGCGCAGGGCTGCATCACGGCTGGGGCAGCAGCACGGCATGCTTGTGGACGCGCGCGTTGGCGCGGCGTGACATCAACAACGTCCTCGTCGCGCCCCGTCCCCACCCCGGCCCGTCTCGCCCGCGGTAACAGTTGCCGTTACAACGTACACATATCCTGGCCTGCACATGTTTCGTGTCTCTTCGCATGCGTCACGGCCCGGCAAGGCACGCTACGGCACGCCACCCCACGGCATGGCACGGCACGCCACGGCACGCCACGGCACGCCACGGCACGCCGCGGCGCTAGGGGCAAGCGAGGGTGTGCATGTGCGTGTGTGTGCTGGCGCCTTGTTTACCCCACCGTGCTGCACGACTCTTTTTTCGTTATGCCTCGCCGCCGCTAAGCCAACTAGTTCCCTGAAACAAAGTTTCCAGGCCAACAGCCGCGTTGTTGCCCCCCCCCCATTATTAGCTGTGCGAGTAAAAAGAGTGGGGTGACGCGTATACACCTGTGAAACCAACAGCAGCCATACAGTGCTCTAGGGGAACGCTGTGTTCGGTTCGGCTGTGCAGGCGCACGGCTTCGGACACGTCCTCGGACACGGTCCTGGACACGGCCTCGGACACGGCACGGCACTGTGGTTGACTGCCCTTTCCGTCCCCTTCCCCTCCCCCCTTCCCTCCCCTCCCCGAAAGTCCCTCTCGTACTCACCCGAAGTGGCGCTTCTTCTGCTGGTGGTGCGCCAGCTGGCGGGGCGTAACGAACGACCGGTCACACACGTTGCATGTCAGGGCCTCGTCTGCAACACAAGCACGACAATGAGGCTCTGTCGCTGGACGGCTGGACGGCCACGACCCCGTCGGCCACCTCTTCAAATAATGTGAGAAACGGCAGGGCCGGCCTAGCTGGGCCCCACCGGGCTCCAGGCCAGGCTCCAGGCCAGGCTCCAGGCCAGGCTCCAGGCCAGGCTCCAGGCCGGGCTTCGGGCCTCACAGGAGTCTCATATTCTGAGAGACGAGGACGTGGGCGTGGCGGGCGCGGGGATGGGGTGTCTGGAGGTGGGCTGGTGGCGGCTGGCGATGGCTGGCGGTGTGGCGGCTGGGGGCAATAAGAAGGAAGGCATATTGCTGGCTGTGCGCGAAGGGCGGCGGCGCGGCGGCGCGGCGCGACGCAGTGCATCTCTCCCTTCATTTTCCAGCGCCGAGACGGGAACCGAGGTCCTCTCTTCCGAGTCAGATGCCGAGCAACAATTCCGGGAAATCTGTGGAATGCCGTGCCGGGAGCGAGGCGCGTTGCGTTGTCTGTGGGCCTTGTGCTGGAAGACGGGGCGCGAGCTCAGCGAGCTCTGCGAGCAAAACCGCGCCTCGTCCACCCCCTGTCCTCGCGGCGGCCCCGGACGTCGTCTTGAACCACGCCGCCTCTCCATTCTCCATCCGCAGGGCGCGCCAGGGAGGCGCCGGAAGCAAGCCGAGGAGGCACTGGACCGAACAGCTGGAGAAAGAAGTCGCAGAACGACCGGAATCCATTCACTTCATTAGTGCACTGGTCAGGGACAGGGAGGGGGGAGAGGGAGGCAGGCGCACCATAAGGCCCACGCAGCGACTGGAATGGCTCGAATGGCTGCTGCAATTATTGTTCGCCGGAATCGGAGTGCAGCGGGCCGTGCTGGCGAGGCACAAGGGAGCGGGGCGGGGCGCGGTGGGGCGCTGCCCGTCCGGGCGTTCGGACACACATGGTGGGCCAATAGCAGCCTCTCATGGCCGCCACTGCTGCCACTGGCGCCAGCAGGCTCACAATCACGGGGAATATCGCGCAGCAACTAACGAACCGGCCAGCTCCAAGCCCAGCACGCATATTGCATGCAAAAAAGAAAAAAAAAGGGGGCTGAAGTAAATTAAATAAATCTCTGTGTTTTTGATTTTTCTGAAACGCCTGGCGTGAAAAGGTCATAAGCAGATATCCAGAACTGCAGTCTGCATATTTCTGGTGAAAACTTTAAAATCAGGCTTTTGGAATCTGAACGTTCTTTCTCTTCAAGTCTACCAGGAAGAATTGATTTAAAAACTCAAGCCACAATTTCTTCTTTTGAAAAGGCCAAATCTGCTTTTGCCGCAGTTCCACGGTTCCACCCGCCCGCACGGACCCAACCTGTCAGCCCGGCGGCGCGCCAGCGGCGCGCTTCATTCGGCCCGTCGTTCCATTCGGCCGCGGCCAAAGTTTCCGCTTCGCGAATTTCGCCATTAATTGCTGCGGGGAAAAAGGGAAGGGGGCGAGGGGGAGCGCGGCCGCAAAGGGTGGCGCGAGGCGCGGGGCTGGGCGCAGGGCGCGCGGACCGAGGACAAGTCGGTGGCCGGAAAATTAGTGCGGCGGCGAGCGGTGGCGGTGCAACGGTGCCGAATAATAATCGACCGGGGGAGATCTTTACGGCGACGCAGTGCCTGGCCGGCCGCCTGCCTGTTCGCCTGCCTGGTCGCCTGGCTGGTCGCCTGGCTGGCCGCCCGGCTGGCCGCCTGCCTGCCTGCCTGCCTGCCAACCTTGCTTGGCTGGACAGCGCGGCCGTGAACGTGAAGCCCGGCGAAGCCTTAACGGCCAATCAGAAGCACCCGTTTTTGTGCGCGGGGCAGGCAGGCATTGAAGGGAAGCCCGTCCCAGGGACGCCAGCCACGCTCTGCTGGCGGCAGCGGCGGCGCTCTCTACACTGGCCGGCAGTAAAGATTTACTCAGCTTGCACACCTTCCCTTTGTGGAACGCGTGGGACGCGGGGACGGGCAGTGTGCGAAGCCAGCGAAGCCGTCGTAAAGCAGGCCGCGGCACCCAACGCCACACCTAGCGGGACCACTACTTCACCACGGCGCGGCGACAGTCCCTCGGAGGGTCCCATGCAGCCCCTCTCTCCCAGCGCTGCCACGCCACCGCCGCCTCCCTCAGCAACGACGCCTTCCAGCGCCTCTCGACAGGCGCGCAATCAGGACCTCTCTGGCAGCAAACTTCTTACGGGTACACAGCTTTTCCGTAATACGGACGATTCAGTGCAAACATGCATGATTAAGGATGAATTTAGCTTGTGCTACGGATGATGATTTCTGTCAGTGAGAAGTTTTGAGGGTGGCATCCCTCGCGCCCCTCGCGACTCCCTGGACCGGGCGAGACATTCTTTTCGCCCGCGGCAACCCCACTCCTTCCCTTCTTCGGGGCCGAGAAGTAACTTGGGGTGGAATCAAATACAACTAGTATCGGAGAAGTCCGCGGAGCAGCTCCTGTCCCCGCGGGGCGTCCACTCCCCCCTCCCCCTCCACGTGCCGAACCCCCGAACCCCTCCCCGCACCTTTGCGGTCCACTTATACCGTGTTTGCCGCCCTTTCTGGAGCGCTGGGGCGGACCGGGCGGACAACCCCGAAAGCACACAAAAACATTCCCCTTTCTTTTCTTTCGCGGCCGTTTCAAAGCTGCTTCGGCGGCCCGGGAGGCAAAAGTATTCCCCTGGTCCATGCTCCGCCCTGCTCCGCCTCGCCCCGTCGTCGTCGCCTTCGCCGCGGGGCGCGGCACGCACACCTGCCGCCGCCCCACCGACGCCCTTGCCGCCCTCGCAGCCCTCGCAGCCCCGCCACCATGCCTCGCACATTGGCCGCGGTCGTGCCAAACCGTGCCAAACAGGGACAACCCTGTTACACGCCACCGCCTCCCCCCCCCCTTTTCGTGGCGTTGTTTACGACGAAACACCGCGCCGAAACAGCTAAAGCTGAAAGCCCTCCCCGCCCCGCGCGCGCATTAATATTGAGAGGCATCTCGAGTGCGGCGCGGGGCGGCCCCGGCCTCTTCGAGGCCAAATAGTGCAGCGCCAAGCTTAATGAATGGAAGACACGGCGGCGCGCGGATCCTGCCGGCAAAGAGCGAAAGCGAGCGAAAGCGACTCGGATAAAGGACTGAAGGTCGAGAGGCTTGGTCGACTACGGCAGCTCATTAAAGCAACAGCCCTTAGCCGCGCGGGGCGGCGTGAGGTGCGGCGGAGCGGGGTAGGGCGGCGTGAGGTGCGGCTGGGCGAGGCGGGGCGGAGACGCCCTATAGAGACGCCGGCACGCCGCTGACGGCGATTTTGATGAACCACGGGTAGGGTAGGGCGGCCTGGGCGGCCACGACGCGCCGCGCGGCTTGAGGTGGCTCGAGGTGCAGCCGAAGCCGGGGAGTGATTCGAGCAAACAACGCGCCAGCAGGCTGAGTCCGAAACGGCGCTTCGGTCGCCCTGTCTCTCTCACACTCGTTGAGGGATGCGAGAGAGCGACAGAGAGACCAAACACCGTTTTCGGAAACAACCTGCAAGGGGCTGCAAGAGAAGAAATCCGAAGCAGATTGGGGACGAGGCGGTCGCGCGGGCCTCCCGGGCGGCGAGCGACTCAACCTCCAACAAGGCTGCTGCGGCGGAGATAGTGTCTGCCTTGCCTTCCCCGGCCCCGGCCCCGGCCCCGGCCCCGGCTCTGGGGCTCAGCCCCTCTGTCTGTGACAGGCGCTGAGAGTTCCCGAACGAATGTCGTCACTCTTTTGCGCGCCCTCGTGTGCGAGTGTGTGTGTGTGTGTGTGTGTGTGTGTGGGTGGGTGGGTGTGTGTGTGTGTGCGCGCGCGCGTGCGTGTGTGGGTGCGCCCCGACATGTGTAGGGACAAGGACGCCCGGGCGCGCCCTGCCCTCCACTGGCCGCAGCACCGCCATGGACTCGCGGAGCCGCGGACTCGCTTGGATCGGGCAATAACAGAGGCCGGGAAATGGCAGCCATTACGGCGCGCAGTACGGCCGAGCGGCCGTGGGATGACGCGCTCCACGACGCACACGACGCGGACGTGTGAAGCGTCCTCTTGCTGGCCCACCATCAATTCGCGCTGACCAAGCACCCTCCGCATCGCTCCACGTTCACGGGGTGCCGCAGCGACGCAGGGAGCATAATGGCAGCAGGCAGGCTGCGCTGGCAACGCACCCCGCACTGGCAAATGCTTACTTTGCCCGGGGCAGGACGCAGCCCTACTGGGACCGCCAGGCCCGCCAGGCCCGCCCGGCCCACCCTGGCCCTGGCCGCAAGCATAATGTGCACCCGCTTCGCCCGCCTCGCCCGCTTCCCCCATGCAAAACCGCCGGCAACGCCACCGCCAGCCCGAGCCACGGCCACGGCCCGAGCCCGGCCCAAACCACGGACCGCGCCGAGGGCGCCGAGCCGCGCGCAAACTAATCCCTCCCCTCCCCTTTTCCCTTCGGCCGGGCCGGGCTGGCCGGGCGGCATCACTTGAAACTTGCCTTGCAGACTGATTCCGAAGTCGTTTTCGTCGCTCCTCCTCTCTTGCTTACACGGGTGCCCTCACGAGCGGGAGAGAGACCGAGCGACGAAATCGACTTCGGGATCAGTCTCTGCGCCACAGGGTACCGCAGGGCGCGGATCGGGCTGGGCGGCGCTCTTCATGACCAGGCGAGAGCGTCTGCAGCATGTGCCGCAAATGCCCGTGACTGTGGCGGCACACCTGAGAGCAGCGTCTGCTCGAACTTGGCGCGCACACTGATATTAGACAGGGCGGCGCGGTTCGCATCCCTCGCCGAACTTCCGGGAGGACTGTCGCACTCCCTCGTGCTTGACGCGTCTGGCTGGTGTTCCCGGTGCGTCCCAAACCAGTCTCTGCGCCGAGCACCGCTCTTTGGATCCCATCCTGTCTCTGGCGGCAATCTTCCCCACGATCTGGAAGGATTCCACTCTCGTGACAGGGCTAGCTAGCTTCGTTGTCAAGTAGATGAGGGCAACAACTGTACGTCACTCCGACACCTTGGCGCTTTTGCAAAAAGAATAAAAATGCCTTTATCAGTTTGTTTTCCACGTCCAGAGCCACTGCTGACGTGTTTTCATACATTGATTAATGCCGGTGCTGGCCGCACACGCGTAGATGTTCTCCCCCTCCCTGTCCCCTAATCCTGCTGCCCCGCGGCGTGTCCCCGCTGTCCCTCACCGGCCCAGCACGGCCAGCGGGGCCAGCAGGCACCAGGCTGCTGTACAAATGTGTCTTTGGGATTCACCAGCAAGCGTGACGTCTGCATGCTTTCCCGTGCTTCCCCCGCTCCTCCCCTCTCCCCTTGCCCCGCCCGGCGCTTACACCAGATTAAACCCGCTCAGGGCTCTTAGCCCATGTCAGCCCAAATGTAACGACTGACACCCACGATGCGCGCGGCCGGAGCGGGCAGAGCGGCCGGAGCGGGCAGGGCCCTGCCGAGTCGGGGCGGCAAAGCCGTGTCCAGCCGCGCCGAGCCGAGGCGAGCTAGGCCCGGAGAGAGGCTAGGAGAGGGTGGCATTTGCAGAGCAAACATGGGGCTCGTTGTGGCGGGCTAGGCCGCGGCCGCGCAGTGCTCTGCACCGCTCTGCACCGCTCTGCGGCGCCGTCAACAGCGGCCGGGCTATTGATTTAATCCCGCCAATGGCGCAGCGACCGGCAGCGACAGCACCGCAGCCAGTGTCAAACCTTATTTGCGCCGCCATGGCTGTGGCTCTGCTGTGGCGCTTTGGTGCTCGCCTCCACAGCCAGCAGTGCCATGCGCTGCCGCCGTCCTCGATCAGTGCCTTTACGGCGTGGGAGGCCGGGGCGACGAGCGGGACGAGTCAGCAGCACGCGGGGCGGCGCTGGGGCGGCGCTGGGGCGGCGTTGGAACGGCGGGGCCGTGACCTTGAACCCCGCTCGGGGTCACTCTCCCGGAATGACAAACTTGCGGATTTACAACCACACTCTGCGCCATCGCCGCCGGCCAAGGTTGGGGCTGGTTGAGGCGGCATGCCCGACCGCGCCGCACGTCAAGCAGTGCGCCGTCGTCGTGCCGCCCCGCAATTGATTTCACGGCGGGGTAAACCAATTTCGGAGTGCGAGGCGTCAACCTAGCGTGGTGTGGCGGGGCGGGGCGAGGCGGGGCGGGGCGGGGCGGGGCGGGGCGGGGCGAGCACCAAATGTAAAGCAGCAGCGTGCAGCCTCCGTCTTGGCAACTCATTTGCATTGCGAGCGCGGCGACGTATTGCCGCTGGCTGGAGTCGCGAAGGGGGTGGGAGGCAGGGCGGGGCGGGGCGGGGGCAGGGCGGGGTTCTACAGGTGGCGTTGCAGGACCGCGCCAGCCGCGCCACGCCCGCCGTGCCAACCGCGCCAGCCGTCCACACTGCTGGGGCGTGCTACAGGTGTTCCAAAGGACGTTCCAGATTAGTTTTTTCCCACGGCCGGCCTTCCCTCTTCCCCCATGAGATTTCGTTTGAGGCGCTGCCCCTGGAGCCGCGCCCCGCGCCGTGCCACGCGCCGCGCCCCGCCTCACGTGGGCAGTCTCTTTGACTGGGTGACGCAGGGGATGACGCACCGCACTGGGCAGTCGATGCGAGAGGTCAACAAAAGCAAAGCCCCGGATGCGGAACCACTGCGGCCGGTGGGCGGTGTGGTGCGGCCCTCACCGGCAGAGCGCTGTCCGCCTCGGCCAGGCCCTCCACTGCCCTCCACTGCCCTCCACTGCCCTCCACTGCCCTCCACTGCCTCCACTGCCCTCCACTGCCCTCCACTGCCCTCCACTGCCCTCCACTGCCCTCCACTGCCCTCCACTGCCCTCCACTGCCCTCCACTGCCCTCCACTGCCCTCGACGACAGGGCACGGCCGGGCCTGCCGTCCGACCTTGAGCGCTAAGACGCCCCTTGTGTCTCCGGCTGTGCTGCGCGCTGCGCACCGAGGCAGGCCCAGGCGACCCGACTCGCGCAGTGGCTCAACGCAGTCAGCAACAAGTCGTCGGGTTTCCCTTCTTCATTTTCAAGTCCGTCCGTGGTCGTTGAAGTCAGGGTGGGTTGGCTGCTGCTGAGAGTGTGTGGTCGTGTGGTCGAGAAGGGGTGGGCGTCTGCCGTCTGCAGTTGGGCGAGGGGCGGGGAACAGTGAAGAGAGTGCGGTGAGACTGTGGCGGGCGGCATAACGAATGGACACAGCGTCCCGCCCAAGGGATCAGGATCCAGAAAGCTGCGCTGTTCCGGAAACGGACAGGTGCCTCGCCTCTCGCGCAGTGAGCTTCAACCGCAGGGCGCGCAGCGTCTGGGGGTTTGCGACCCAAGACCTAAGGACCGACCGCCTGGACAAGGGCTCCCCCCCCCTCCCAAGCCCCGGGCCGCCCCCAGGGCCCCGCCGGCGCCCGCATGATTGGCAGAGGACCGTGTTGATTGGAGGAGAAGGTGAAGTGGGTCAAGAGACCTGCCGCCTGCCGCGAAAGCCCCCGCGAGAGCCCAGCCCGCCTACCCGCACCTTTTCAAACAAACGGAAGAGAGAGAAGCGTTCGAAATTCGGGGAATGCGTTGTGTTTGCGGTGTTCTATTGGCGCGACCCCGGCTGGGATCGTACCCACGCAAATACGGACCACTGGCAATCAAGGAATCAGAGACGCCGCACATTCAAACGGAGCTAACCCGTGAAGGGAGTGCCGGAGTCCTCCCCTCCCTGTCGCGGCTGGCGAGGAGCTGCCGCAACTGTAGACCGATTCCAAGGGTCGTTTCGGCTGCTCTGTCTCTCTCGCAGAGGGTCCGAGCAACGAAAACGACTCTCGAAATCGGTCAGCTGGGTGGATGGAAACCGCACCCCGCTCATTTTAAATGAAGCCCACTGAGGAAGCTTCGCGGAGCATTATGCGAGCGACACAGTTTCACCAGTGTGGCCGTCGCGCGATAGGCCGCCGCCTGCTTGTTCGAGACCGTGCTCTCGATTGCGGTCGCAAGGGACTTGCGGGCGACGGGAGTATGGAACGCATCCGCGCGCACCGCCGCGCACGCCGCGCACCCCCAACGACCCAGGCCGAGGGTGCCCGGCCAGCGCGCCCAGGGTGGGGCGTCGGCCGCGTCGTCTCGACGCGGCGTCGTGCAGGCGCCCGGGACGCAGAAGGCGATGGAGAGTGAGAGAAAGAGAGGGGGGAAGGTGAGAGCCGAAGAGTGCGGCACCTTATCTCGGGAAGGTCACAGCTCTCCCTTCCCCCGCCTCCTCCTAAATTCTCATCGCGGCGCCGTGTTGGATCGGTCCATTTGGCGAGGGCCGAGGGCCGAGGGCCGAGGGGCAGCACCCATTAAAATGCGCGGCCATGTCCTGGGATCCCCGCGAAAGGCGTTTACTTATCGCCTAACTGCCGCCCCCCGCGGCCCTTCGCCGCCGCCGCCAGTTGAATTATTGGGACGGCGGATGGGATGGCGTTTTTCGCGCCGTTGACGGCGAATGAAGAGCGACGCGTTTACTCTGCAATATGCACTTTCAGCGCAGCGAAGGCTAGACGGCACAGCTTCGGGCGGTCAGGCCTGATTGGTGGGGACTTTCGACGAGCACTGGAAGACGGCTGTCGATATGGTTCTGCGACAGGCTGTTGTCCTGAAAAAAAAATGGGACGAAATGGAACGGGATGGGAGTCGAACGCTTATCTTTCGAGAGGGTTGGTGAAGTCGCTTCTCGGCCGCAGTGGTTCGACAGTCTACAAAAGTGGAAGGTGGCGTTCAGTTATACAGGAATAGCGCGTGAAATCGCTCGGCACGGAACGTTGTTTTTGGCGGACCGCGGCGTCTGCGGTTCGCTAGCACACATCGGAGTTTCACTCGCCTGAGGTTTCCCATCATATCGTGTGTGCCAACAAAAACAGACCCAATAAATCGCGTGTTTGCGAGTGGACCTGCGAGCAGGCGGTGGAGAAGCGGGGGGTGTGAGGGGGGAGGCTCTCTCTCTCTCTCTCTCTCTCTGCCACGGTGACGGTGGGGTGTCGAGATCAAACAAACGACAGAGTTGCAATTTCGCGCGAGAGTGTTGGCTTGAAATGAAGTGGCATCATCGTTTCGCGTTACGACGGTGTGGCCAGCGCGGCTGCGAGCGTCGAGTGTTTCCCCCGGTTTCCCCCCTCCCCCTCCTTATTTCTCATCCGGAAGAGGACAAACAAAATCAACAACCCACTATGTCGAGACACACGAGCCATTTCGCAGTCCCCACCCTAGGCTGTTGAATGCCAATCCGTTTTGACAGCTGTTGGAGCCCTTCGCTCCGCGTTGCCCCGACAACAACCCGGCTACACGTTAAAGTGGAGACGGAAGACTCACCGAAGTCGGTATCATCGCTGAAGTCCTCCTCCTCATTCAGGTCAAAGTCATCGCTGCAGGACGAGTCCGAGTCGGACTCATCGTGACGGTGGCCACTGCAGCCCCAGCCGTCCTCGTTGTTATTGTTGTTGATGTTGTTGGGGGCGGTGTGGTGGTGGTGATGGTGATGGTGGTGGTTGCTGATGTTGTTGTTGGCGTGGTTGGTGTCGTTGTTGTTGACGCACTGGTGGTAGTCCGCCTCCTCGGCCGACAACTTGTTGTAGCCCTTCTTGTTGTTGTTGACGCCGTTGCTGCTGGCGGTGCTCCCTGCAACAAAGATGGCCGCGGCCGTCAGTTCCAGTTTCGCTGTTGGCGGCGCTGATTGGCTCTAATAAGCAGCTTTGGCGCCGCGGCAAAAGCGCAGCAATTCGAGCGACGGGAGAGCATTTCCAAACCCAGAGCGCCACCCTTTCCCCGCTGTCACCTGATCTCGTCGCTGGCGGTGGCGTGCAAAGTGCACTTTGTGGAAAACAGAGGCTTCCTCTCGGAACGAGATAGAGAAGGGCTGACGCTCAGGCTGACGTGCGTGTGAGGAGAGGAACCGAGATTATGAGAGTTTGAGAAGCACGGGACCCGCGCGATATAGCCATCCAAAATTCAGACTGAATTTAGTCGACAGTAGACAGTTTCAAGGGCATCTTTCATCCCCTCTCTCGGTGGACGTTGCCTTTTAATGCGTCCGGTCCGCACATGAATGAACAATGAGAGCACGAGCTTCGGCGGCCATGATCGAAGCCCCAAAACTACCGCCGGCTGTCTCAACTCTCCACTCAGCGTGCTGGCAGAGCTGACGGGGGCGCTGACGGAGACCCGTCCAATGAGCTTCACAATGTGCTCGGGTAAAGCCACTGAGCTGAACACGACTGCCAAATGACGTTATTTTTGTTTCGAAATGAAACATGTCAAAGAGAATCGAAGAACAATATTGCTATGCTCTGTTGGGGCGCCACACGTCTCGCTGCATCTTGCCAAGGACAACCCGCTGACCAGGCAGCGGGGCGACACACCGGCGGGGCGACCCTGGCGACCCCGCCCCGCTGCATCACGGCAAAGGGGGACGACGCCGTGCTTTGTCTGCGACCGCCTCGCCTCACCGCCTTGCCTCCGCCCCGCCCCGCCCCGCCCCGCCGGTTGGCGCAGTGCGGAAGCACGCGGAAGGCTGTTGTGGACTTAAGGCACGGATTACCGCGTCACTGCCACCCCGCCCCGGCCCGCCCCGCCGCCCGGCCCGCCCGGCCCGCCCCGGCCCCCCGGACCCCGGCCCCCTGATGCAGTTAACGCTGAGACAATAAGTGCTTATCTCGTTTCACGTCGACTAATGCGCCCCCTTGCCCGGTGAGTTACTCCCTGCCTCCTCCAGGCCCTGCAGCCGTGCAGCCCTGCAGGACCAGCAGCCCGACTCCGAACCGCCCTCCGTCGCTGTTGGCTCCGTCTCTCCCCGACGACCCCCAGGAACGCGCCATGAGTGCGAGAGAGACAGAGCGACAGTTCGGAATGAAGGCACAGGTGGCGCTGCCCGGGCCCTGGCCTCTTGTCCGTAAATCCCTACGGAGCGACGGGCCTCTACTGTTTCCTTCGTTCCGTACTGGTGTCGCCAAGGCGGCCCCCTGGCCCTCCAGCGCTCTATCCCTCCAGCCCTCCAGCCCTCCAGCCCTCCAGGGCCTTGCTGAGCTGGAAACCGATAGCGGGATATACACTCATGGCTGCGAGAGCCCCCGCGAGCCCCGAGGGGCGGGGCGGCTGGAGCCCGGCTGGAGCCGTGGGGGCCTCCAGCTGCCGGGGGAGATGCGGCGCGGACCGATATAGTCGCCTTGCAGCAAAGAGAAGGGAAAAAGTCAACTGTTGTCGTGCGCAGCTGCACTGCCACAAGCTGCACGACTCTCTTGCTCGCGTTACGCGGATAATACTGACCGCACGAGCACCGCGGTCGGTTGTTGAAAGAAAAATTGTTTCGACAAACGAGCTCCTGTCATTCTTGCCAGCTTCCTCTCTCAGCAGCGGAGGGTGGATCGCTCCGACGGTGCGGTGCTCACGACTACGGCGCCTCCAGTTCACCCCACCCCACCCACCCCGCCGCTTCGTCCTCAAGGAACTGCTTCCCGGTGTCCTGCGCGGCCAACTTCGGCTCTCTTCTGTCACGCCAACCGGGAGGAGGGGGGGGGGGGCGCAAACTAGCAAATTGAATTTGGCAAGTGGCGCGGCCACGCGGCCAGCCCCAAAAGCAGCCGATGGCATTTGAGTATACATGGTGGCGTTCCCTTCACGCTACACCGCCCCCTCGTCGTGGGGCGGGGCGGGGCGGGGCGTGGTGCCTCGAACTCAAACCCCATTGTGTCACAGACAACACGGAGCGCCTTGAACCGCGGTCTGTTGGTCCCGGGCTCGGTCCGGCCGATCTAGGTGGGATGTTATACAGGTCCAAGGGTCGCACTGTCCGTGCGGTCGGTGCCAGCGTGCCAGCGTGCCAGCCCCAGCGCCAGGGCCTCGACCAGCCCACCCCAGCCTCGCCCCGCCCTTTGCTTCGGCTCCGACGACGCCGACACTCCGGCGCAGGTGACCCCCTTGACCATGGACGCCGCCATCAACCCTTCCTCTTCGGTGCGCAGGGATCGCCCTCCCCGCAAAGAAGTCCAGCAAGTCCAGCGTCCCTTCCTGCCCGAGGTCCGCTGCCGCGCGAGGCTCCTTTCAAACCCGCTGATATCTGGGCCGGGCAGCCCGAGCAGGCAGCCCGAGCAGGCAGCCCGAGCACGCAGCCCGAGCACGCAGCCCGAGCAGGCAGCCCGAGCAGGCAGCCCGAGCAGGCAGCCCGAGCACGCAGCCCGAGCAGGCAGCCCGAGCAGGCAGCCTGCGGTCACACGTCCGGAACGGCGGCCCTTTGTCCGCACTAGAACCGCGCCGTAATCCGCCGTGAGCCGAGCGAGCGGTGCGGAAGCGCGGGGCGGGTCAGCAGGGTCACCGCCCAGCCACCCACGCAGCCATGAACAGAAAAAGATCTTCTCCAAGTCTGGTCCGACAAGACGTCCATGACGCACTGTCCACCGCGGCGCTGTTCTTCACGACGCTGTCCTTCGCGCCGCGACGCTGTCCGCGGCGGACAGCCCCGCGGCCGACGGCGAAGGACAGCGCCGCGGTGGACAGTGCGTCATGGACGAGTGGCCACCCTAGAGCGTCCCGGCGCCCGCAGACCGGAGCGTAGGCAAGCCCGCATGCACGGCTGCAGGCGTGTAGCCTGCAATCATATTGTCGCGGGGTTTCTGGGCCACCTGGTACATGTTTACCCACTTCGGATTTATTTTTACAAAGATGGCGAGGCGTCCACAATTATTTTAAATTCGCGATAGGAAGGCAAACGTTAAAGTGGGTCGAGCTGCTTTTAGTACTCCGCGGGCGGCACAGACGACAAGGAAGAGCCGCGCCTCCAGTTTTCCTCGTCGGCGTGTTTGCCGCGGAGACAAGAGGATCGGCCGGGGGGGGGGGGGGGCTGTGGATAGAGGGCTGAGGATAGAGGGCTGAGAGTTTGGAAAAAAAATCACAAACATACGGATTTTGTAGCAGGGGACGAAAATCCTAAAGCAAATTGGTCTGAGGGGTGGGGGATACTTTTGCGATTTCTTTTTGTGGTTACCAGCCGAGTCTTTTTAGAAGAACGACATGGTTGTCGCATTCTGTTCCACAAAAAGCCTGTCTGGCCGGCGAGCGGCGTCACCGTGGCGACTCGATAATCTTCATCGAGTGCAGCGGGCTGGCGCCGCCCCTCGTCGCCTGCTGCTGCGCGGCGCTGCTGCGCTGTGCCTCCAGACTCGGTGCCCGCGCGAAGCGCAAAGCACAAAGAACGCAGCACGCCAAAGACCCCCGAGACCATCAAATCAAAGGCCGCGACGGCGCATTTGTCGCTCGGCAGTGCCGGTCATGGCCGGGCTTCGCCGTTACCAGTCCCTTTTTCCTCGTTGCTTTCCTCCGTCAGTCACCTTCCCGACAAACATCAAAATACCAGCAGAAAGGGGACACCCCAGCGGGCCAAAACCACGCGGCCGCTTCCGGCAATATCCCAAATCCGCCCGTAACAGACTGGTGCATATTTTCAGGTCCCCGAAGGGGAATCGAACCTGACACCAATGGCCTCGGCGTCAGCGTGGAAAATGTTGGATTCGGTTCAGGGCCTCCACGGACACTGCTCTGCCCCGGCCCTGTAGAGGCCTGGCGCGCGGACGCCTCACCGGCTCTGGCTCCGACAACGTCATGCTGGGGAGGGCAACTCTCGAGTATCGACAGGACGCGCCACTCTCGTCCTGTCAGAAGAAGGAGTGCACTAGGGTGGCAGTGCCGGTGCCGTGCCGCCCTCCGCAGTCGCGGCACTGCCCAGCACTGCCAGCTCTGCCCCGGGTGGGGCCCCTGGAACCACCCCTCGTGGGGCTCATCGCGTCCGGTACGTAAAGGGAGCCTACTTCAAAGGGAGTCCGAAGGGATTGGCGGAATTTCAATACCAGCCGGATGCGCGCCGTTTGGCCGAGTGGGTTCGCGGAGGCAGTGACGTGGAAGTGTGCCTGAGTCTGAGTGGGGCCGCGAGAGAGAGCGAGAGAGAGAGAGAGAGAGAGAGAGAGAGAGAGAGGAGGAGAGAGAGAGAGAGAGGAGAGGAGGGAGAGAGGGGGGGGGAGAGAGGGGGGGGAGGGGAGAGAGAGCGCCGCGCCCTCCGCGCGGAGTGTACAGGCGAAGGTCTTGGTGGGGCGGGGGCAGCAGGGGTAGGGGGGGGGGGCTTTTGCGTCGGCACCAGAGGCCATCAAGGTAGTCATAGAGGAACGGGAATCATCTTTATTTTACTTTGTTCGCAATGTATGCAAACGGCCGTCGAATATTCATGCAGCCGTCGCGACGTCGCGTGCGTGGCCCTGGCCGCCGGACTGCTGTGTATGCAGATGGGGTGACACCAGCGCCGCCGAGGACGACGAGGAGGCCCGACAGACAGCCCGACAGCGGAAGCGCAGTGCGAACCTCGGCGACGGCGGCTTGCTGGCGCCGCACAGCGGCAGTCTGGCCGGATACCCCGCATGGCGCATTTGTTCCACACAGTCCGGGAACTCCCCCGGTGGCAACAAGTTTCTCCGGCTGAAAAGCGACCGGCAAGTGTTTTCATTCAGAGCCCGAAATGTGGCGAGTCACGTCCGCCCGAGCCGGTGCTCCAGTCAGTGATGCGGGCCGGAGCGGAAAGAGCCGTCGTGTCGGAGACGCGTTACCGGAACACGCCGCCGACTGGCGCCAGCCGCGTCGAA